TAAATAAAACTCATATATTGGTGGTCAGTCACCAATCAGTGAGACTTGCAGAACCTTGGAAAAATACTCAAATTTAGCCATGGGGTTACTCAAATTTAACATCCATACAGGTACATTCATAATAATGCTTACAGTATACCTTTGGCTACTGTTCCTTCATTCTGCAAGTCTAAGGCTCTGTAAATGTTTGGTAAATGAGTACATACTACTACTTTTTTTAAATCTAATTTTTCTGTCTACTGTGTACAAATGGGATTTAATCTGAGAACCTATTTTAGATTTGTCAGCGTGGGTAGAAGATAAATAGGAAAGTTAGAAGAGCTTGTATATTGTTATAAATTGATAACTGATGTTCTTTGCTTCTAGGGCTAATTCAAGTGCCAGGTGATTTAACAAAGACTTTATAAGCAGTGACAGCAACATACAAGTTTAATATTTCACTTGACAATAAATTGCTGTCAATTCATTCAATTCCATTTAAGAATTTGTATGCAAAGGGACAGTAAAAATATTCAGTATTATTGTGGTTGGTTTTAGCACTTCTAGCTGTGCAAAATCAGAGTATTTACAGCAATTAATTTAGCTTGCTCAATCTTAGTTTAGGGACAGTCCTCTAAGGTGTGGGTCACAGTTTGTGCTTGATGGTTTGTATAGCCCTGAAAACCTCAACCAAATCTGGAATAGTTCAGATGGGATCATAAACAGTATGGTAAATCAATACCTAGTGGCTGTATAGCACAGCTAACTGCAAAAGATTTCTGCATGTGAACTTGAGAAGGGGTGAGGAGAGCTAGGCAAGTATCTTTAACCCTCTTGCACCTTGGCTGAAGAATGCTTGGGGCAGATGTGCACTTAATTTATGTCACCTGTTACTGCCATGAGGATTGCGATGCAAATATTATAATTCAGAGCACAGCAGCATAACATCACAGGAAGCTGAACACTGGACATACTTAATGAAGGTTTAGTAGCCCTAAAAGGGCAAAAACAGATGTCTAAAAAGTGTGAATATTTCATTGCCTTGTAGATCCAAAAGGTTTTCCTAATACATTATAAATGACTGATTTGTAGCAACCATTTTCCCAGGTGATCACAGCAAGTCAGGCATAGCAAGATTAGTTCTGAATTAGTTGAGATTCAGAATGTTTTCCAGTGGATATTCACTGTAGAAAGGCTCCCACTCATGAATTGTAGAAACATTACTGAGGCTGAAAACTCATGAAACTGTTTTGGAAGTGCTCAACAACATCTGCAGCAGCTGTGGTGTGTAACTCCCCACAAACCTCTCCAGTGCAGGGTGTGTTAGCACTGAGAGTTTGCAGGGTTGTGTTATCTGGGGTGTGGTGTTCAGTCATCACTCACACTGGGCTAAAATTTGGCCAGTTGTTTCAGACCCGATAAACTTGAAATTGATCTCTGCCTGCTTTGAAGAGATGGCAGATGTACATCATTTAATATAAGAGGTTTTTCCAGGAAAAAAAGTCTTCAGAGAGGCCACAGTTCTACACATAATAATGTGATGAATTCTGGATTTGTTTATCCTATAAATAGTTTAATGGGATATATAATAGCTTTAAAACCATGTAAACTGCTTATAGCAATTAACAGATGAGTACTTGAATCCAGGCTCCCTTTCTTAAAAGATCCTCATAAAAAACTTTTTGGTTAGATAAAAAGTAAGTGGAATGTTTATCATATGATAATGACAAGTGAAAGACTCAATTTTGGCACTAGATGGGCTGGATACAGACTCTTTTAGGACAAAGTATGGATCACGATAGTAGAAGTAACTTATCAAAATTAGTATGAATTGACTCCAAAACAAGGAACAGGAAGCTCAGAAGCCTGTGATATGACTGTCAGAGCAGCTATGGAAAACCCAAAGGATTGGCACCTTCTGCTTATAAAAAAGAGATGCATCATTTGTTTAAAACATAGGTGCAACATGGCCTTGTTTCTAAAGAAAGGCATACAAACAAAGCCAAGGAAACAAAAAGTCAAAAGAAACTCAAACCCAAACCACCACACCTGAAAGGCCAGACTGGAAGAACAGAAGCTGAAACTGTGCCCGTGTGAATGTGTGATTTTCTTTGTCCACGTGCCATGGTCCTCTCTACTATAGATATCTCTACTGGATCATAACTACCCTTCTTAAAACTACATTGCCTTAGTTGAGCATCAGGGTACTTGGCAGGGAATTATATCTTTATAAAATCTACTTCATCTGGCAATGGAAAGTTTCAGTCCTTCATGTCTGGGAATTTGGTAAGCATCTCACAGAACACAATCCCATCCCAGACAGGATATCTCAAAGGTTAATTTAAAATAACATAACAGACCCCGTACTCTTCCAGTTCAGACTGTGTAGCTCCTTAGCTACCCTGCTGAATATCTTTAGAGAAAGTACAAATTTTATTTCAGAAAAAGCCATGTACCTACTAAAATTTGAGCTCTGTTAAGTGACACCGTTATGCTGCAGAGATATTCTTTTGTTTCATGACACAGTCAGAGGCCCCCTCCCCAAAAGATTCCTGTTTTATTATTTCAAATCTGTTTTTCAATTATTGTCTTCCTCTTTGGAGAAGATCCTTTTTGGCAGTGATTCAGCCTTCTTGGGAATTTTTTATATCTCATTAACTGGGAGCGGTTCCCAAGACATCAGATTTGCCATCATCTTTAAATCAAATAAGTCTAAAATCACTCATAACAAGGAACTCTGTGGGCCTCACTCTGCTGAAGAACTTCAGGAATGCTCAAAAGTTAGGATTGTTTTTTTTTTGCCAAACACAGATAGAGTTGCTGTTCCTCTGTACATGCAATATTTTTTGTGTGAGGCACAAAATCCAGAAGAGGGTATCTGTATCTGCTGAGTGATGAGTTATCTGAACTGGAGGTCTATCTTTGAATCCTCTTCAATATTCACAGCCCGAAGTGGCATATATATATATATATATATATGTATGTATGTATGTATATCCACAGCTATTTATATATATATATATATATATATATAAAGTACATATACATATAAAGTAGCTGTTTGTTGCATGTTTGCACTCAAGGTCAGAATAGTTGTTGTTTGATGCCAGTGTTACGTTTCAGATACATTTGGACATTCTTAATTTTCTTTTTCTTAAATTCCAGTCTTAAATGAAACTAATGGGATGGCTCAGAGGTTAAATAATTGCTAGAGAGAGTGAGAGATGAAGAGGACAGCCAGTAATGAAAATTAAAAAGAGAATGAGCATTAACTGTGTTTTTCTCTCTCAGTTCAATATTGGGTTTGTTGCTTCAAGTCAAACATCAGTTCTCCCTCATTAGCTTTTCTTCCTCGTGTAGGCATATTTTGTAGTGACTTTTCATTCTCCCTTTTATCAGAGACCTTTTTTTGTCTGGTAGCTCTAAATATGCTGTGCAAAAAACCCTAAATCACATTAGTCTCCCTATTTGGTGGATTTTGCCCCTAAGAAGCAGGAATCAACAACAGAGCAGGAATCAATAACAGAGGCAGGATCTGAGTAAGAGAAGTGCAGGTTTTTTGCAACTGAGCAGTGAAATGTATGGCTAAACTAACAGCACACTGAGCCCTCTTCTCTGGCCTTGTATTGTTGAAATTCCTGAATGGGAATTGTTAAATTAAAATTAAATGGTGTGGCTTTTCCTATAGAAGGGGTGGGTGGTAGAGTTGGTTTTCTGGTAGCTGTCAGGTACTTAAACCCATACACTTCATCGTCTCATATAAATAATTTTAAATAGTAAGCCTGTATAATCAATGTCAGACATGAACCAAAAATATGTCGTTATTCATCTCAATAGACATAATGAAAGGTTGAATTTAGTAATATTATAGTCCTAAGTATAATGAGGTAGGAAATGGTTTTGATGACATTTAAAAAGTCAACTATAGAGTAAACAGATATGTTTTTCAAATCACAGCTCAGTGGATAGGGAATATTCTGTGAATCCTTGTGAAAAAGGATTTGAGGTTAACTTGTTTGGAAAGTCAGGTACAATTTTTAAAACCTTTTAGAATGCATTACTTGTCACTATTAATTATTTGTAGGATTAATTGTTTTTCAATTAAAAAGTCTGATGTGGACATTGTGCGTTTAGTTTCTGATGAGAGGAAGCCAGTGCATTGATTCCTTTGGTCTCCCAAGGAAAAGAATTCACATTAATATTTGGGCCTTGATTTTTCCTGTCCCTATAGTCCTGAAATCTGATCAGCTTTGCCTATTATGGGTGTCAATGTATTTAAGAGAATGAATGGTGGATTTGGATTTGGGTAACAGGATCTAGGGTATTTAGCATCTTTATAAAATAGTTCAAATTCAACTCAAGCTCTCTGTGCTAGTGTAGCTTCTGGAGTCAGGCATCTGTGAATCAAGTTAATAGTCCCAGAAGTGGCTCTAGAAACCTCTCTCCATTAATGCCATATCAGCAGTATTGGGAAGAAGGCCAAAGAATTAAATGGCAGGTTGAAAAATCATTCATTGTCTAAATTCTTCTGTAACAATGGAGCAGTTGAGAAAACGTGCTGTTTGACAAAATGAGAAGGCAGCAGGTTTGCACAAGTATCTCACTGCAGTGTGACATCCATTGCCTTGGACTCTTAGAGAGATGAAGATTTAAAAAGATGTTTGTCAAATCATGGAAAACAGATACATTCTGGTGTAGCCCCTAGCCAGGAAGACTTTAAGCTACTGATTACTTGAATAGGAAGGTGTGAAGAGGAAGGGCTCTTCTGTATTGTCTTGTTTCTTACAGTCTTTTTTCCCACATAGTTGCTGCTGGCCTCTGCTGAGGACAGGACAGACCTCAGGGCTGAAGCAGTATGGCAGAGCTTACATTCTGATCACTATTGTCACATCATGAGGGCAATGTTGTAGCATAACAGGTGAACTGGAAGAAAAAGGACAATGGTCTGTTTGCAAATAGTGGTCTGTCACAAAGCAGTGCAATGCGTTTGTCCCTCATGTCCCTTTTTTGTTTTTCTTTAGGCAGGTGACAAGCATTATCATCCAAGCTGTGCACGATGCAGCAGGTGCAACCAAATGTTCACAGAAGGAGAAGAAATGTATCTGCAAGGTAAGGATGTCTCCATTCCAAAACAGGAAAATCAGACTTTGGAATTTTTCTACCACAGACCTCAGGAGTTTATAAACAATCTCCATGTAATATGGCCGAAGAGGAATAAAGTCATGTTCTCATACTTTTTCACTTGAAACCCTTTTGCTCTATTAGGCAGTCATAACTGTGGCTTTGCAGTGACTCTGCACCCCAGCTGAGGCAGACTGTGTTTGCTAAAGCTGTGTAGCAAAAATGAACCTTATTAGGCTGCCTCAGCATTTCACATGCCGTGGATGGCTCAGCACCCACACTGGTATAGGAGATACCAGAGGAAGTGAAGGGGTTTCCCCTGATTTCTTCTGGTCTGTTTCTGTGCTCTTCTGGACCACACTCCAGACTTTAAAAGGCAAAAGAAAAATTTCCAGAGGCTGCAGTGAGTTTGTTTTGAACCATGTAGGTCTCATTCCTCATGCACATTGACAGAGTATCTCCTCTGGTTCTTAATCGTATTTGCCCTTCTATCTGGTCATGTCCCTTTTTTTATTCCTGTGTACTTTATTTTTATGTCTTTCTACAGTCACTTCTTTCTTGAATGTTCATTTCCATCTCCTCTTTCTTGTTAACAGTCTCACACTCCCAGGTATTGCCAAGCTTGTTTTTTTCATGATCTTTTCACATAAAAACGAATTTGATCTTTTCCTTGATTGAAAAGTAACCTTGATCTGAATTCCACCTACTCTTGGAGAATGTAGCCCATTAAGTATTAAGCTACAGTTATTGTTATTACTTGCTGTAGTATTAATTAATGTTGGTAGAGGAATGTATAATACCCATTTATGTAAACCAGAAATCAAAGTGAAAAAGGGAGATACATGCTTGGGTTTTGTATATTGCTCTTAGGTTAGAAAACTTGTTTGCTCTACCTGAAAAGGACTGTAGAAAAATAGTGAAAAAATTATGAGTGCGTGAATGCAGCCATCTCTTGAAATCCTGAGGAGAGATTCTTTCTGGAGGAGTTCCAAAATAAGATAATATTGTTAAGGAATTCCTTTGAAGCTAACTTGTTTTATTTTGTAGTTTGCCCTCCCTTGTAGTCCGTCTCTCTCATCTCTCACTGACCTTTTACCTTAGTCATCTTATTCCAGCTGTGCACAGAACTGGATGTCAAGTTGTGTAGCAGCTCTGCATTGCAGGAGCAAGGAGAGGCTGCAAGAGGGCTGGGTAGGAAGTACTGCTTTCTAATGGTAAATTGAAAAGACTAATTTGAAAGCAGCAGTTACAACATCTGGCAACCGGTAATCTTCTTAGTTTCCTTACATCATGGTGTGATAAAGTACAGGCAGAGTTTGAGGTGAGCATCACTTCATCCTTTGCTGTTATTGATAACAACTGTTTGCGACTGATGCCGTTTGTCCGAATGCAGCAGAGAGTGGGAGTTCAGGTTGATTGGGCAGGCTCTGGGGAAAGTTTCTACAGGTCAAACTAAGACAGAAGGCATTGCTTCTACTTAAACTAGGCTAGACTTTGTCCTGTCCAAGTTTAGGTGCTAGGGGAGAGGAGAGAAACCTGGCTGCCTCATCTGCTGTTTTTCTCTTTTTAGCTGTATCTCTCTCTCTGTGATTGTGAATCAGTGTTCTTTGTGGTCACTCTGTCTCAGGGGAGGAGCAGCCCAAATTGCTTTATTGTTCACAATCTGTTTTCTGACTAAATAGTGTTATCTCTGAGTGTGCTCCAGACTGTCCTGCCAAGGCTTTCCTTGATGAATTCAGTGTACTTTTAAGTGTGAGGACCCAAAAGCCTTTCCTGTGCAGAGCTCTCAGCTGAAATGTATATCTTGACTCCATACAAATAATTTACTCTAGGGTGCAGAATAACAGCATTCCAAGCATTTCTCTGAATTAAAAATAACAACGCCACAACAGTGAAGCTAGAACTAAAATCACATTTTTGATAAAATACATAAAAATACGCAGCTTCCATCTCACTTCTAATTGTCCTCTCCCCAGGATATGAAAGCACTGTTGCTGGTATTTGCTTTGTAGAATAGAGGAGCCTGGCAGGATTGTGGTAGAAACTTCTATTAGAAATGTGTGGGAAACATGCAAAAGGAGAACATGGAAAAACAAGCTGTCTATCTTGGGGCTTTCTATGTTAAGGATAGTTTGAACAAGTCAGAAGCACTCTGACTTGGCACTTCTCCAACACACAAGAAATGAGAAAGAAGCAGCACCAGAAACTTTCTCTTTCCCATTGACTACCTGGTCAATTATTATATTATTATATGGACTGCCCAGAAGGCTGTTGCTTAGGATGTTGCTTAGGATGTTGCCCAGTATTTAGAGGGATGCTGATGTTGAAATAATGGTACATGCAAAGTAAAAAGCTGAATAAATGAACATGCTATGAATAACAATAAATGAACAAGTTGGTCTTTGCCAAGTGAGCAAACAAACATATATTAAGAATGGGAATAAGTACAATTTGCTGAACTATTTCTGGTAGAAAAAAAAGAGGAGCGATGCAACTTGAGAATCTGCACCATTCCAAGCATTTCAAAATAGATTGGCATGTTTGGATGAATAGATCATGAAAAATACTTACATTTAGTTTCCTAACCTGCTCTATCTGATTTGAGTTTTTAAATTTCACATCTTCCAAATCTCTTATCATTTTGTGGAAGAAAACTCACAACCATTAGCTAAATTTCACCATGAAAATGACATCCAGACTTGCATTTCTTGTTCACTTTCAGCAGCTGCAGCATTCTCCTGGGGTGTCCCTGTAATTGTGCCAGTTCGTGATAAATACTGCCCAAAATGCAGTGACAGCTTTTTCTTTGATACTGGGGATAGTTTAATAGGAAAGAATAATAGAATCATTAACATTGGAAAGGCCTCTAAGATCATCAACTCCAACTCTTAATGTAACAGTGAGGCACAGAGGAATAGGGATCATTTTTCTCAGTGCCACACAGGAAAGAAGCTCAAAGCTGGATTTGAGAGTTGACCCTAAACCTTCCGAGTCTTAGCTCATCCTTGAGCAATAAGTGTCATGTTCAGTAAAGTGTTACTCAGATCATTTCTTATAACATGATACGGACTTACAACATGAACTCTCTTCCTCCTGAGTGGACAGGGCACGCCTGTCTCCTGATCTGGCAGGCGCTGTGGGGCCCTGGCTCTGAGGCTGCTGTTTGTTTACAGAGAAGGCTGTTGGTACGCTTCTCCCTGTTGACTGATGGTTTCCCCCTGCCAAATGCACAGTTTCTTCTTCCTAGGCCTGGACTCAAAGCCAAACATCTCAGACCTTGATCCAGAGTCACAGCGTTCTCTCCTGTCTCCTGATGATGATTATGTTGTGTACTGCTGGGAAATGAAATGACTCCCGCTGGTCTTCACTTCTGTACCACGCCATGTAAGGGTTCATGAGAACAAAATTTCCAGGGGCCCTGACCCATACCTCCCCTGGACTCTGAGGGTGGGGTTTCCTCTGGCTGCACTTGAGCTAATAGTCAACAGCAGGAGACCTGGACTGCTCTGTTTGGTTTGTCTGTGGACAGAGTGAAGAGGTGATGTTCCTCCCTGCAGATAGTTCAAGGCTCTGTGTTGGCTTTGTGGTGACTGAAGTATGAATTTGACTGCAGATGCAGTCAGTGTTAAAAACCAGCATTAGCTTTTGTTCCGTTTCAACTTGGCTGATACCTACCAGCAGCTTCCCAGCAGTGACCACGTTTTATACTCTGTTCCAGAGGAGAACTGAAATGGGATGAAAATGCTCCTTGCCCCGACATTGCTCTGCCCTTGGGAACAGCCGTATATTTCCATTTTTACAGCATGAAAGAATCCCATATTTTGGGAAACAAACGGCAGAGGCCCTGACTTTTTTAGTAGGATGTATAGCTGGAAATACCAGAGCCACACGTGCCACTGACCTTGCAGAGCAAAGGAGTAGGAGTGGTGTCTGTGCCAATGGCATATGCAGTGTGCTGGGATCTGGGGAGAGGCTCTTTCACATGCTGCTTTGCACCACCTGCCTTACTGGCCTCTACAGCCCTGTAGACAGCCCTGACTCTGCTGTGTTGTGAATTTTCTAATTTTGCTTTTCATTTTGCATAAGTGCAGGGAAGAAGTAATCTGAATGATACTTTACAGTAACTGAATATGACACCGATTGCTCATGGACTTAGAGTCAGAATTTCCTTTTTACGTGTGGTGTAGGACATTAGGGGAGAACAGATCAAGTAATCATGGCCCAGTTCCTTTGCTCTTAGTCTCCATCCTGCCAGAGGAACCCTCTGTCTTTCTGTTCCTCCAGCTGGTGCTCGCTGACTCTCTTGCTACTTGAGACTGCTTGAGTTTTAATTAAGAATGTGTGCAAAGTGCTTTGGCAGCCCCAGGACAAGGCTGCTGTAGATATGCCAGGGATTTGAATATCGTTTAGTTTCACTTGTATTTCTCAAAAACTAGACTTTAATGTGAATTACTCGCATAGTTCATACAGATTCACCACCTGATGCCACGAAGTGATTTGCTTTCATAACTGACTTATCATAACCAGAAGTCATCTGCTTTGCTCTGAATAAAGATGGGTTTCTTTCCTCCCTCAGGTTCCACTGTCTGGCATCCCGACTGTAAGCAATCCACTAAGACAGAAGATAAGCTCCGGGTAAGCTGAATTCATGGCAATGACACACCATACATTTTGCACACACGATAATTGAATGTTGTTTTTAAAAGAGTGACTTTTTCCATGTTTTTTTCACATAGCTGTCACAACTCTGGCAGAATATACAGTGGAGGCACTTCAGAGGTATTGCTCTGATTTTTAGGCTTACCACCTTCACATACCTGTCTCAGTGCACTGCCTTAAAGATAGTGTCATTTACTGACATACAGACGTGGCAAAGTATCTAAGACACTTCATTTCATATCTCAGTTGTTGTGAGAGAGACTCTTAAGGAGAAGATATGAACAGGGCAAATGCTACCATATATTTTAGTGGGTTTGCACATCTGTGTAATTGCTTTATAGTTATCCCCTGTTCTGAGTGGTTATTTGTAGCATTTAGACAAGATGAACTCTTCTTCCTTTGCCATACAAGTAAACCTCAACCTGAAGTGATCCTAATTTGAATGCCAAGAAGAGCCACAGTTACCCTTGGAGTCACTTCAGCATATCCAGACAAACTTTCTGGATCAAATCCTGACAATAATGCTGCACTGATGAATGCTAGAGCCTGGCTTTTTGTGTGCACCAGGCAATTCTAAGCCCTTATTCACTAATTCATCTTCTGGACAATTTACTCTTTTTGATATCTCAGTTGGTCCCTTGAATTTTGCGAATTTGTCAGGATGTGAGAATTAGAGACTTCATGTGAATAAAACGTCTTTCAGACAGGGAAACTAAGAGGTACTGGTGTGGAGATACCGACAGTATCCTGTGGGTTATATTCTCTGTGGGTTTCATTTATTTCTTTAGCATTTATTCCAGTACACTGGTCTGTAGAACATTCCCCGCAGAGAATTTATTATGATCGTAGGTAATGTGCAGGTAAATTCTTGTTGTGCAGAGTCCATATTAGTGTGGGCAAAAGTATAATTGACCCTCCATGGGTATGTTGTCTAGAATGGCCTAACATCAATGCAGGTGCCATCCAGCATTCACACATTGTTCTGTGCTGACTTTTCATAAGAAAATGGAAAATTATGCCAGACTGGATTTTCTTCCTCATTTAACAATTTGAATGTAAATTTGACAGTGTTTTGGCCATGCTTAAGTGTGAGAACACTTGTGCTTTGTGGTAAATGGTTGGGGTACAATACCTTCCTTTCACTCGGACCCAGGAGTCTTATCAAAGCACTCCTGTCCACACTGCGGCCCTTGCAAACCTTCTCCAGCTGGACCTTACAAATCAGTTGGGTTACTTCCATTCCCCGTGGAAGTGGCCATAGTCCTCCTCAAGTATTTTCCTTTTTTCTGTCACGTATTCTAACACATCAGTATTCTTCCCTCTCAGCTAATTTTAATTGAAGTGAATGAAGTAAATTAATTAATTTACCTGCAAGGCTTTTTTTAAGTGAGTTCTTGCAGGAAAATAAAGTGAAGCGAAAGAAGGTGTGTTGAGGGAACATCTGAGAAATGTTACAGTACAGCTATCCTAGGTTGCCTTGTTCCTGAGTGAGAGATTCTATGCAGAGGTTTAATATGTCTTTAAAAGGCATTGACAAATGCATCATACTGAAGCTGGCTGAGAGATGGAGCATTTTTAGCTTCAACATTACATCACAGGTTGTCTACTCTGGTGCAAAGTCAGACACTTTAAAATTAGTTGGAGTTCACTTTGATGACTTTGACACATGCTTCATTCTGTTGACCAAATGAAGGAAGTAGCAAACAGGTAGGTACAGAAACAAACAAAACTGGGGGAACTATGTGCTATTTGAGCATGTCAGCACTAAATTAGGAATTGTATTTTAATTGAATTTCAGTTCCTTATGACATACATTTAGACCTAATGTGAGAATTGGAACCTGGTTTTTGAGTTGACAAATAGCCACTTTCAGGGTTAGGCCTAGATTTTCTGGTGGTTCTGCAAAAAGCCAGTGCCATTGCCTATTTGCTTGCTGGGTTTCCTTTCCCTATGGAACAAAACAAAACAAAACAAAAAGCCCTTTTATCACTGAAGTAACTTCAGAAGTTTTCAGCAAGTTCTGTTTTCTTTTAGTGACTGAATTGTGATCTAAACTAATCATCATTCTAGCTGGTCAAGATCTGAAAGGGAGTTCATTAAAGCAGGGGTTGCTTTAGATCTTCCCCCCATGGATACTTGTGGAATATTACAAAGCCAAAACAAACAGAAAACAGAACAACCATAATGTATATTGTTTAGGTGTTTATTTAAAACTGTCTGGCTGATCATGATTCTGCAGCAATCAGTAAGTAACACGGATACTATAACGCAAGTAGATATTAGTAACTTGATTGAAAAAAGAGCTTAACCACTGAACTGGGGAAACTGCTTTCCTTTTCACTCATTTTTCCCTTTTGTGTTTCATGACAGCATTCCTCATCTGAGTTCTTTTATCCAAAGAGTCTGGTTCTGCGCAGGCCACGCTCTGCAGAGGTTTGCTGTTGTGTTTTCATAGTGTTGATAATGATCTTCTTTACTGAGAAGATTCTTCATTATTGTCATTTGCTGCACTTGCTACTAGTCCTGCCACACAGCTTTCCTGCTATCACTTGCCACCATGGGCACTGACGCTGTATTTTGCATCACTTGTTTCAGTGTTGCTTGTTAATGCTCACATTTTTTGTTGAATGAAATGCTTAAAATTAACTTATTTTTTTTAGGTTCAGATGAGCTTTTGGGGGCTGTAGTATTGGTCTTCCAGTATTCCAGAAAGTTTTTCTCATGAAACAAAAAATCAGAGTGCAAATATGAAGCAAATGAAAATGGTGAAAAGCATCTGACTTTAAAGCGATGGTTAAAAAGAAATTGTTTTCCATGAACAATTACTTATGTTTTTAGGAAAAAAAAATCCCATTAGTTAAATCAGTTCCTTTTTTATGTGTATCGACCAAACACACATGAATACTTTAGTTGAGAAAATATTTACAAAATTCCAGGTTTGGGCATATTCCATGTGCTCCCTGAGAGCATTTGCCTCTCTCTAATCTGGCGCACATCCACATCTCAGTTGCAAGGTCTTCCCTGTCCTCTTGATTCGGGAATAGCTTTTTACTTTCAGACTTTGTTGTGTTTGCTTTGCACTTACAGACACCACCCACTTCCATTTCTTCTCCTTCAGAGCAGTGCTTATTTATTAGGTGTGTCTGCTGTAGGGGACGTGTGGCTGTGCTGCATGCAGGTGTACCTGAGGTAGTTTTCACCTGGTGATGAAGTCAGAATGCTCTGGTATGGACTTAGCACAGGCTGGCAGTGGGCAGACAGGCTGAGAGAGTCCATGCCACTGGATTTCCATTGTGTCTGTTCATGTGGCCTTCACATCTCTAATTGCAAAGTAGATGTGGTCACATGTCAGCCAGGGCAGGATGTGTGTGATAGATCCAGTCTGCAGGATGGTCTTAGGTGGTTGGATCCAATACTGTGATTAAATGGGGGTTAATGCAAGCCCTGTACTCTCTGTCCTGCCCAGTAGTTTAGTTGCTTAACTACTCTTGAATATTACTCTCTGCTAGCTACAGATCTGTGTATCAAGAAAATACAGCCTGTGTTATCCGTGCTCTTAAGAGAGCAACGTCTCTTCAGTCCTAGGCTTTATGGAATTGAATGTTGGAGTCTAAGAACAGCAAACTGTGGGACCATTTCACTCATCTTTTAGGCTAGTGTAGTGGTTTTTGCATTCAGCTTAGCATGCACGAGTTTCCAGTGCTGAAATCCAGGAGCCTTAGGATTAAAAAACCAAATCCTATCCAATGTATTAGAAAAATATGCAAGGCAAAATAGGAGCAGCCCACGTCAAAATAAAGGAATGTTCTCTTCCTTGCTTTGTAGACTGTGTGGGATACAAATAGCTTAGGGTCAGATGAATATCCTCTTGTGTAAATTTGGGCAGTACTAAATTCTGTTTAGATTTATGTGTGGATGCTACAAAGTGTAACTCAAGGCAGAATTTGGCCTCAAGTGTTCTGCAGAGTAGACACAAAGATGGTATCATTGCTGTTACTATAAAGGTGGGCCAAAGGTTTGAATCTACATGAAGATTGTAGTTTGAAAATGGTAGGGTGAAAGCCTGTGAATTTCCTGAGAAGCTTGTGTTGAATTCATTATGTTCTGGACTTCCCACTTTATTTTCTTGTTCTTTCCTATCTTGTTCTTAACTGACTCTTGATGAAGGCTAAGTTTGCATGAGTAGTCTTGTAAAAGTTTGTTTGGTACCAACATACCTGCAGTGATTACGTGCTGAAAATTCATTCTCCTCTCTGGTGTTAGTGCCTAAAAAGGAAAGAAAAATTAGTTGTAACATATTAATATCTGTGTTTGTGTGAGTTTAAACTAAACCCATTCACTGGTTTTGTCTTGATGCATATACAGTGCAGAGAAATAAGAAATGCATGCATTTGAAGGATACACCCTTGTAAGGAGGAGGGTACAGTTAAATAGCAGACAGGCGCAGTGAATGCTCTGACACTGAGGGGCTTTCTTGGTCTTGTACACAGCCACTGGAAATTACTGAAATCTGTAGGAAGCCTATGTTTTGTGAACTCTGCTTCCAAGTCCTAAATAACTACAAAACCTTGCAATTGATGAAGCAGGTAGTCAGAGTAACAAGTGTTGTACTGAGAAATCCCAAATCCCTTGGTGTTGCAAAGTCGTGTCAGCCAAATAGAAGATATTCCATCCTAAACTTCTAATAGCTTATTTACAAACATGCTTCACTTAAAGTAGCTTCTGAGGTTTAGAGAATTTGCTGAAGCTATAATGTTAAGTGTTATTAAGTGAAAACATATTCATTTTTCTGCAGCTATTATCACCGCCTTGCATAATGAACTCTATCAAAAAATTAAGGCAGGTACTGTAAATGGGGACGATGCCTTTGTTAAGCAGTAGTGCATCCACTTGACCAGATGTTCTTGGGATCAGTTTTGATCTGGTTGCCTGCACCTGTAAGTTTTTATAGAGCATGATGCTGAACATCTGTAGTTCAGAATGCCAGAGCCACCACATTGTAGTAGCATTTGGATGATGTGAATGGCTCTAGGCTCGATTCTTTATTTTTCTTTTTTTTTTTAGAAGTTATTTATTTACATGGTGCACCATGCATGATGACATGACAAACAGAGGTAAATGCAGATGAACATCTTAAGCTTTGCAGTCCAATATTAAAATATCAAGTTTATCAATTTGGGGCATATGCATGGGTGATATGATAATTGAGCACTCAATTCACAGTGAGCATAAGAGGATGAGCATGACAGTTGGTATTACCTCTGCCAGTCTGCAAATGAAACTGGTAAAGAACTTCTGCATTGAAGTCAAATGCATGAAATGAAGAACAAAAACAAAAAAAAGAACTCTATGATAAAGTGGGAAATACTGAGTAGTCTTGTAGATACTTTAGATGCTTTGTGATCTGTTTTTTTCCTTTGGCTCCTTTAATGACATGCATGACTTTTTGTTGACTGAATTTCTATTTTTTTTTCATATACTTCATAGAGTTTCTGTATTTGGTACAGACATCCCATATTGATATATTTACTACTGTTACATCTATTTACGTGGAAGATGAAAGAAAAAAAGTGATGACTCTTCTACTGTCAGAAAAAGTGGAGAAAGGCCATGAACCACAAGAAAAGAAAAATTAAAGATTAGTTCTTAATAGAATTTTTCTTGAAATTTCTCTGCACAAAGGTGGCATTATGAAAAGCTCTACTTTGTTTCCTTCAAGAAAAAGAACAGTGATACAAAAAATGTTCCAGATCTGTTTGTAGAAGGAGTAAGGCAGCTTAACTTGTTTGTTTACTGGGAGTGTAGAACAAGTGAAGGCTACTGTGATGGAAGTAAATACCTCTAAATTATTGTGTTCATATTAAAAATTGTTTCCTTCTTCTTTGCCTGTTTTTTCCACTAATGTGTGCAAGACAAGCTCACATGTTATCTCCACATCTCCAATGTTAAAGGTTACATAAGGGCTAGCCACTATTCCTGTGCTCTGATCAGCTCCCCTCTACGGTGGAATTTACACCCTGCTGCAGTTACATCAACACAGAACTTGACCTCCAGCGTGTCTCTTGCCAGCTGTTTAATGTAAAAAGTCACAGTGGTGTTACACAGGGTCAGGGATTCTCAAATGCTGATGAAAATGTAATGTTCAATTTAATAAAAGCCATACCCGGTCACAGATTTTCAGTCAGGGGCTATTACAGGTCTCTTAGGAGGGGAGCCAACCATAGCAACTAAAATTATGCCAGAGGAACAGCTTTTATCAAGGAATCTTTAGTGTATGTTTGTTAAGGCAAGCAGCATAAATGTTTTTAAGTGCAATGCAGTTGTCTTTAGGGGAAAGTGCAAAAGCTGTGAAGGATTCCCATTCCATATGGGAAGCAGCGGAGTAGGAAACAGCCATCTGTGATGGAAACAGCCTGTGTAATTCAAAACAAGAAACAGGGCAAAGTGAGGCAGGAAGGGTGAGTGTAGATGTAGAAGTCCTTTTTCATGCACTGTCTTTGAGGGTATGTTATAAATGTAAGTAAGATACAGGACTGGGAGGTAAGAGAGGAACCTCAGAGTTCCAGGTCTGCTTGGATTCAGCTCCTCAGGAAAGGAGCAGCGTGTGCTCAGGCAGTGGATGGCAGGATGGCATCCTGCCCAGGCTGTGTGGAGCTTTGCAGAAGATGGAAGGTAAAATTGATGTACACAGAAAGAATTACATAAAATAGAAAACTGGTTTAAAGGGTGTCATATCTGGCTCATGGCCTTATTAATGGGATGGTAATGAGGAACTTGGAGCAGAAACACAGTGAGGAAATGAGGAACAGGTGCGACAACATGCAGGTCCATCTGACAACTGCTCCTATACTCCAGGGTTAAGAGCACCTAAGAAAGCTGTTAACAGGATATGGCTGAAACTATCTTCTTAAGATGTCTTAACTTTTTTTAATAAATTCACTGAAGTGATAAATGCAAGTGAATTTTCCTTAAATGAAAAGATTTTTAGCAGTGACACTGAGGTGAGACTAAGGAGGTGGGCTGAGGGCTGAGAATTTCTCATTTTTTGAAGCAATTACAAAAGATCCAAAGGGCCTGCCAAATGGGAAGAAGCCATAACTGCCTCTAAGACTTGTTTTCCTACAGCATGGAGAATTGAGCAGACAAAACTCTTAAAGTATGTCTGCCAAAAGCCAAAGGTAACAGAGACACCCCTAACAGTACCTCAAGTACTTAATACTGTTCCCTCTGTTGTAATGAAAACAATTGTTTTCCATAGCAACTGCAGCAAAATGCTACATGTGTCTCCACTCAAACAGAGTGAAATGGAAGAATGGAAGGGGGAGTAAAGTGTTTCCCAACACCAGCCAGATTTTCCAGCTTAATTCTTGTAACATTTCCATGAAACAAGTGGTTGTTGTTGGATTTTTTGGTTTGATTGCATCATGGGAGGAGCTTAAGGGCAGCTGAAAAATTTCTGTTCCCTTTTGAGATGTAGGAATTTGCAGCTACAGAGAGAAAAGAAACATGTAAAGGTCCAGCTGAGAAAGTGTTCTCAGATGTGCTCTGGAGAGTATTTGTGACTTTATCAGTCCACAGCCACATCTGCTTTCTGTTTGATCTTAATCTTCACGGGTTTTGGTGGCACATACTCAAAGTCTTTTATTCCTCTGGTGCTCCCTGAGTGTGGTGATTTCATTTCCACAAATGAAGTCAGAGAAAGCCTGCTGTCTGATCCACAATCAGTCTTCAACATTTCATATGTGGATGGTTCCAATAGATTTCCTGGCTATGAAATTAAAAGTAGAAAGTCTCTGAGGTCAATTGAAAAATCCTTTCAGGAAATGTATGCTTAGAGATAAGAAAGATCCGGTAGCCTTTTTGTGTTCACTCCAGTATTTCCTATATAAAATCAGTTAGCCAGGCTGTCGAGCCTTGTTTCTCTTCAGTGTGTGCCTGGAGGTCCCTTAGTTCAACGTCACAAGCTGATGACGTAAGGACTGTTTACCAGGGTTTTATTTCAAGTGACTTTGAAGTATCCCAGTGCGCTGGTGTCATCAGAGTCATCTGCTGACGCACTGCTTTTCGATGGGATTTGGTTCTTTGCAGCCATTTAGGGAGCAAAAATTGTTTATGGTTTCTCAGTTGCAAGTGGGATATGGTTGACTACCTTTGTGTGTCTGCTGTGTGCCAAGTTTAGGAGTAGTTGCCACAATAACCACAGTGACTTTTGATCAAATGGATGTTTTTCAAATTTATCAGGTTTTCAGGATCCCCTCATCTCGGTGATAAGTTTTCTCCTCTCACAAAACTTCCCCCAGGGCATCAGTGTCTGTTTAGATCTGACAAAGTGTTGGAAAATCTACTAAACATAATAGCACTCGCTCTGTAGGGGTGGGACTGTTCTCATGAATTTCAGATGTTGTCATTAAACATCATGACTTTTGCAGTATGAGGAATCAGGGAATTTCAACCAGCAGTTTGACTTCCCTGCTGCATCCTGATGGTGCTGCAGATATAGGGAACAGCTCCAAGCAAAGGATTTCAGGTCCTTCTACTTAGAAGGACTGCATTCAGTTCTGTATTCATAATGGAAATCCATTGGTTGAACACCTGGAAAGTGATAATGTATGTGCTGTGCTCCTCACAACAGTTTTGTCTGCTGAACTGCTGATACCTCTAGTGGTTTGTGAACTAACGTTTTGCTAAAATGACCAGCAGGACTATCCTGGATGGTACTTTGGCTCCTGCAGTGTCTCTGGCAGGTGTTGTTTGATTTTGTTCTTTATTATTGTCAGTCTAGTCTTTTACATTGTTTGATTTAGAAAACCTCTTTCCCCTCTCACAGCACTCCTTCCCCTACCAAAAAAAAAAAAAAAAAAAACGCCCACTTGCCTCACAAGATTGTGAAATTTGCCAGAATGCTTGCATTTGTGTTGACATTTTTTCCTAAATTCAGTTAATTTCAAGATGTGTGCAGATTTCTTCTTTTAAACTCAAAATTACCAATGTTGATGGCTTCAGGTTGCTTTCAAAAGTTACTTTTTGTTTTTCAGCCTACAAGAACGTCATCAGAAAGCATTTATTCCAGACCAGGTTCCAGTATACCTGGCTCTCCAGGCCACACTATCTATGTAAGTATTCCTTCTGAGGAATAGGCTGCTCGCCCATGAAATACTCACGCTGAAATGAATCACTGTTACACTGATGCCAGTGCCTTTATTCTAGTGGGGAAATCATTATTTCTCCATGTAGCTTTTATAATTGTAGGACTTCGAGGGCAGAGTAGGCCTTTTCCAGGTCACATTTCCCTTGGAAAGATACAGTAAATCTCTTGAAGTCACTTCATGATGTGAAGGGGGACAGAAGGCAGATGGGTCATTTGGCTTTGTAAGGGTTATGTGAGGAGATCTGTGCACTTTGATACACAGTTTTTGAGAGATCTGCTGTCTGCACTTGCAGGATGTCGGGAGGAGGGTCAGCTACACTGAAAGAAGCCTGATTGATCCAATACCTTCTGTTTCAGAAGTCGGATGTTTTGGTTGTGAAAAGAAGGGTGTTTTGAATTTAAGATCAAAAATGTAACTAACCATAATGCTGAATCACTGATTTTATAGATAACCTTGAAACTATATGGGTGAAAATGTAATGTAAGACACAGAAATGTATCAGTGGCATGTATAATAATGCAGAAAAATCACCAAAATTACAAATCCCAAGTCCTGAGTTTGAGTTCAACTCTGGTTCTTCTGTGCATTTCAACAACCACAAAAATTAGCTGATGTGTGAAAGGTGTTCACACTGCAGGTATCAAAACACAGAGCATGTCCTGGAGAACTGCCATTCTGCTGGTAATATCAACTTCATAAACTGTAGTGTTTATGAAATTGAACTGCTGCTCAAAATCAGTCTGTAGGGCAACATGGTGGCTTAGACCGGGGTCTGCAAAAAATATCTGTAGTTATTTATTTTGGATTAAGAATATCCAGACATATTTGTGTCTCATTAACAGACTGTGGTAGAAATACTACAGAAATAACATATGTTAATTTACCTACATATTTTATGGTTACATTTGTTTAAGGTGTTGGTTTATATCTGGTAAGTAAAAGCTAAACAAATTTGAGGCTATTTTTTAGACAGTGAATTTCCCAGCTATTTCAAACCTTGTTTCTCTATGAAAAACTGTTTCTAGTTTATGGCACTGCTTAAGAACCACAAAGACCAGTGGTTGTTAGAGAACTTGGAAAGGCAAATGCATGTCAATCTGAAAATTCTAGGCTCTAGTACTCAGAAAGAACAGAACTGACTGAGTTTTGTTATGCAGCCCACTATGAATAAATGAAATATCTAGTAGAAGTGTTGAAAAACAATTTGAGTATCCTTCTTTTGTAAGGTAGGTAAAAATGTATGATGATATTTTTTACAAATCTTTTTATAGGGAAAGATATTAGCTCTCTAAACTAAATATAAGGCCTCTTTCTAGCTCCTTCTAGTGTGTGTATCTGACTTTGGAACTGATTTCCTACTTCCATTTTTTAACTAGTCAAGAGTTCCTTGCAGTCTTAGTGGAAAAAATAGTTGATGCCAGTACTGTGCAGTTGGTCAGCAGTGGATGTCTTAGTCAGAAGCTTGGGTATAGGATGAGTGATGAGTGCAATTTAATAATTTCATTTGGGATTTTGGATACCCAGTCCTCACAGTCCTCCTTGTCTTTTTATTTCCTTTTAATAAGTTCTGTTTCCTCTTGTGTGCACAGCTATAAGTTGAATACCTGTCTGTGGTCTTCAGCATGGAATCCCCTTGTAATCTCTGTAATCTGCAAACTAAATTGATGTTATCGCCATTTTACATGTGGGAAAACAAGAGCAGAAAGGTGACAATACTTGCCTGAGGCCAAAAAATTAATCATTTGCAGAGCTGAAGTTTTCAGCTCACTACTGGGGATAAGAAACTTTTGTATCTAGAACTATATATGCCATGTTCTTTCTTCTCTAAACCAAGAAAACAGTGTGAACTGTTGCAGAGGAGGCCTGCTGGAGAAGAACAAGAAGCACTCACTTTGCATGTAGAGCGCCAAAAAGAGTTTTCCATAGAAACAGTGTGACAACAAATACACAAAATCATAAATTGTGTAAAACAGAAATTGCCAGTGCATTTGTGTAAGTTAATTTATCTTCTGTCTTTGACCTTCAGGCAAAAGTAGACAATGAAATCCTTGATTACAAGGATTTAGCAGCCATTCCCAAAGTCAAGGCTATTTATGACATTGAACGTCCAGACCTAATTACTTATGAGCCATTCTACACTTCCGCCTACGAGGACAGACAGGAGAGACAGAGTCTTGGAGAGGTAATGAACCAACAAGCAACTCATTCTGCTGTGTGCTTTATATACAGAGCCTGCTTCGCTTCTAATTGACACTCCTAGATGCTGTTGCTGCTGCTGTTCACAGTGCTTTTTGTCTGTTTTGTCTGGGGTTAATGGGAACACTCATGATGATGCCTCGTGTGTGAAACTGCACAATTGGACACCAAATCAACACCAGCCACTGGCAGAGGAATGGCAGGGGGGAGGCTTGCAGGCTGTCTCTGTGTGAATCCTCATAATTCTCATGGATATCCTAGTCTTTGGGTACAGCAAAGTCCAGAACGTGAGGCAAAAGCCTCACGTTGTGCTGGGGAGCACTGATATTCACAACACAACGTGAGGAATACCATGATATTCTATGGCAGAAGCAGGACTTAAGAGCAGCAGGATACTTGATCTCACACATACTGAAGGGAAATGTGTTGCCGGAGCACTTTGCCAGACATTCTGGATAAAATCTGAACTGGGTCAGGATGAAGTGCTCTTCCACCTGGGAAAGCGGGTTAGTTGTGTTATAGAAATACCTGCCTCACATTTTAAACTGCTGATATTTAGTAAGGATTCCTGTATCACGCAACGATAAGAAAAAGTATCTCTATTTTCTTAAATTTGTATTTAAAAGTATCTTACAGACTGTAGGGTCCCCAGTTTTCTCAGATGAATTTTCATAGCTGCAGTTACTATTTACATGATTCCAGTGCAGACTGTGAAGCAGGTTTTGTCATGTAATACCACCTTTCTGTAAATCAGACTTCCTGAATGCAAATCTAAATGGACATGGAAATGGATTTACCTCCTTGCAGTCTCAATGACTTTACTGATTGTAACTGAATTGAGTATGAATTTGAGCTGAGGAGAAAAGAATTACAGTAAATCATTCAAGCACCAGTGGTCTGTAGATGCCCAGATCAATGTGACTGATAATCTGCTTTCTTAGCAGTGTTCTGCCCACCAGCAGGTCAGAGCTCCCTCAGTTTTTCTCCTTTGTCCTTTAATGTTTTATAGGGTTAGCTTCTTAAATAATAACATGAGTTGAAAATTCAGGAGACTGTTCAGCTCAGGAATAAAATAAAGAGATTAATGGGTCAGAACATTACAGAATTTCCCCCCTCCGATTTATGTTGGTAGTGTATCCAGCTGGCACCTGATTCAAAACCACTGAGTGGTCACCATTGGTGACCTCTGACCAATTCCAACAGGCCTGACCCATTCCACAAAACCCACTACAAACACAAGTCTCTTGTTAGTTATAGAGGAAGAACTAATTTCACCAGAGGTGAACTATTTGTTCATCCTTAAAGGGAAGCTCCTTACTGACAAAGCAGTATGTTGGAAGCTGATAAAGCAGTATGGTGTAAGTTGCCTGCTTTTATGCTTGTTCTGTGAATAAGCAAAAGCCTTTGGGGTTTCCTTGTATCATATTTTCACCAGCATTAAATTCAGTTAATTTCTAGTGAGTACAGAAATTTGTTCTGGAAACAGAAGAACTGGTTTTTTCACACAATGCTACTGCTGACTTCTGTCACCTTGGGCAAGTTATCTCACCTCTTTGTATCTGTTTCTCCTCCCTTCCCTTGCCCTAATGAGAACACAAGCCCATTGGGGTGGAGTGATCCCTTACCTTGTGTTTGTGTTGTGATAGTCGAGTGACAACAGTCTTGGTATATCTACATCAGTCACCATCATCTTTAAAAAGCAAAGGAGGTGACATGTTTAGTCATGGCAGGGATTTGCAGACTGAGGGATTTAACCTGCATTCTCTTTGCAAAGGGGGTGTGTGTGGTGGTGTTAAATAAAAGGGGACCCTGAGTTTATTCTACACTAGAAATGCCCCTCACCATGATAAAAAAAAAAAAAAAAATCACCAGTCTCAGCTAAGAAAGATTTCTGTGTGTACAAGGGAAATGTGCAAGAGGCACCAAAGTTGATCCAGGGATGGAGACAAACCTTAATTATAAGAAATGAGCTACAAAACAATGACATACTTTAGCCACAGAAAGTGCGAAAACACAGCATGAGACTGTCATCCTCGCTGCAATGGCAGGGAAATGCTCTGCCAGGTTTCCCACTCGTGGTCCCTTTTTCAGGAGAATCCCGATGTTTGTGGAGCTCGGAAGGCAGCGCTCTCTCCCACAGCTCCCCCTCGCGGGTGAGCTCCGAGCGTGCACGAGATTAAAAGATACAAATGAAATTTGCAAATTAATCTGTGCGAGCGAGGCTGGCCCCTAACGGAGTGATAATGTTTCCAGGAACCGTCAGATACTCAAGTTCTTCAGGTCCTGCCATTCTGCCCTGTGAGCAGCAACCTGATGAGTACTGAAGTCTTTTCTCAGCTCTGATCTTTGTTGCGTATATATGTGTATATATATATATACACACACATATATATGTGGAGAGAGAGAGAGAGAGAGAGAGAGACAGGGAGAAGGAACATTTTAGCTCCGTGTCCTTTATTTCATGTATTCTGTCTATTGAAAGCACTGAATGTCCGTAACAGCTTTCAGTAAACATGCTGTCATAAAATGAGAAAAAGTTTTTTCTAATGTGATAGATGCTTCAAAATGGAGAAGGCATCCCACCTGGTAGTTCAATTAAAAGACAGTTAAAATGGCATCAGTGAGAACTTGTGTTACAGAAGGACACCTATAAAGTTTGTAGAAACTTCCCGGAGCACAAAATGACCTGTGCAACTTCAGGTATTAGAGCAGACTCTCAGATCTCAAAGCAATAGGGCATTGGACCTGTTGCAGTAGAGGTTTCACTGTGTCTTTGGTCGGAATGGGTCTTTTTCCGCTTCCCATTCCCCTTTCTCTTCTTTCTCTTCCCTATCTGGAGTTGTCACTCTGTATTTCCACTGGTTTACTGTTCTGGAAAAGAGCTGCTTTTCTCAGCTGTCTGCACGATGTATTTCAAACTGATTATAGTGTAGACTCTGCAATACACCAGGTTTTAAAAGACTTCATAAACCCTGAACCAAACATTCCTTGGCATCCTCAGAGTTTGAGATATGACAGCTCACCTGTGCATGATAAACAGTAACTTGGCTGCGGAGTGTGGTTCCATTTCCCAAAAAGCAACGAGATGATGTCAGGTAGTGAGGGAGTAAAAATATATGAAAGGAAAAAATACATGGATTCAGCAGGCTACTTTCTGGGCTGCCTTCCCAGCTTTAGATTCCTGTGACTACCTTTTACTGTAGCCACCACCTTAGCATCTAGGTAACCACAGCAGGTGATGGAAATTTGTTTATTTAGAGTAACACATGAGTTACTAGTAGATAAATGTGGGAATGCACCTCACAACATGTGCTTTTTTGATTCATATTAAGAGTTTTAGATTAGCTCTTGGGTTTTGTGGAGAATGATGGTCCAAAGCACTGTGTATGATACGTTTCATGTAGAGCAAAGCTTTTAGAGCTGCTGTTGTTAGATTATAAGAATTAGGAAAATAAGAATGTAGAAGACATTCAAGGCTTTGACTGAAAGTGTCAAAAGCAGTCTTTAAAAGCTTTATGGAAAACTGCTGAAAAGGAGATGTTTTGTATCCAATAAAAAAATGTAGCTCCTTTGTTTGGATACTTTGCATTCCCAGTGTCACCAGCTCTGTGAGATTTAATGGTCTCTCAATGCAAAATATATAGCTGGATATTTAATACCAGAAGTTCTGCATATGCTTTACACTACTGCTGTTGTACATTATTGTAGTAGTTAGACCAGAATCTGCAGTTTTGCTTCTGAGATACTATCTTAAAACTATATCATTCTGTAATAATTATGGTCTTATTTAAAAGCATAATCACTTGCCCAGTTTATTATGACAAATAATATTGAAGTTTTGTGCACAAAGAAAATAATTAAGTCCTCATCTTCCAGCTCCAAATTGTCTGGTGATTAAAGGGTACATAACTGGTAATTATACATGGCCTTTATTCTTGTTCATACCATCAACGTATGCATAATCATATGTCTCATTTCTAAAGGTATTTCTTGCCTCAGTTTCCCTATCTGTGTTATAGAAACTTTTCATAATATTGTGCATATTTCTGCCCACTGGCCTTTGTGCAGTTCTTCCAATACACTTGCTTGTAATTCCTGTCTGTTCTTACATAACCATGGAGGAACACAGAGATTTAAAGGAGGTCATATCAAAGAAATGTTGATGACAACTACGTGCTCCTTTGCATGAGTATGAAATGTAAGGCCTTGGGGAGAAGCACATTTTTACCAGTGTGTGCGTTGGAGGAAAAACATGCTTCATCCTGAAAGATATTCTGTATTTTGATTTTCCATGCAAAGCTCTGAGTTAAGTTTATTTACTTTTGATTTCCATTTTAAAGATTTCTTCATAAGAGGCATGGTTATTAAATTAATAACTCTTTCTGATTTTGATCTTCACAGCTATGTTTTAATTACCACAGTGATTAGATGGCTAAGACGATCTTGCATGATACTTGACTGAATTAATCACCCGTATAAAGATTCTCCCAGAAACTTTAAACTTCAGTGATTTATGGACCAGTTCCTGAGCAATGTGGAAAAAGCAAATTCTGGTGATGGAATGGCCTCAGTAATTTCTGCATTGCCACTTTACATTGCCATATATCAGAGCATCTGCAGCGATGTTTAGATTACCATTTTCTGGCCCAGTGCATGCAATGATATTTCATAACCTTATGTTTTATGTCTTTGCAGTCTCCAAGGACATTATCACCTACCCCTTCTGCAGAAGTAAGTCTGGTGGAACCTTTGGGGGCAGTCTCTTACTGTGATTACAGTTATTCAGTTGAGCAAATCCGGGTGTTGGTTTTGTTATCAGTCTGATTCCTCTCTGTTTGCCACATAGACATGTTTTCTAATACTGAAACTTAACAAAAATTATTTCTAAGAAGGAAACTTAAGCTCTTATTGACAGATTGTACAAAACATGAAGCAGCCACTCCTCCTCTATTGCTGTTTGTAAAGCAGAGCCCTTTGTCCAGCAGGCGTCACTTCTGGTACATTCCTCCTTCCTGTGGCACAGGCGGATTCCGATCCTGAGAGCTGGATGATTTACATGAGATAAAATGCTACTCTAAGCAACTAAATGATAACTCATGTTTGCTACTGAAACATTTGCAGTTTTGTCTTGAAGAAAACAGAACTATGGTTTGGTTTGTTTTTGCATAGGAGTTAATTTGAATATCATAATAAAATGAAATTAATACATGAAACATTTGGGAAGTAATTTGTCAGGATACAATATATACTATTGCTTATGCATTATCATTTTGAGGGTGGAGAGTGTTGCTTTTTTGCGACTTAAAAGTTGTACTGATTTCTATGTGTTTAAAAAGTGACTATAAAATTTCTTGTAAATCTTCATGCATTAACATCAGTCCTTTCCCTTTTGTCCTAGTTTGGTTTGCTTTGTGGGGTTTTTGGGGGGTGGGTTTGTTTTGAGGGGAGTTTTTTTGTTTCTTTCTTTTGTTGGCTTTTTTCCCCAGGAAACCAAGTAAATTGAATTTTGCTATATGAGAAGGTGTCATGTTTTCTGATACAAGGGGAATCTAATTTGGATAGTAAATTCCTATTGATGTAGCTAGTTGTGACACATGGTAAATTTAGGCAGACTCTGCTGTAGCTTTTGAATTCTTGCTGCCAGGTTAACCAGCTGAAGGCAAGCTCATATGTCTTGTGCAGGACATTGCAGGATAGACATGTTCTGGCTGTAGCTTCCCTTGTGGAGTCAGGGAATGTGGGCAAATCTAGGACTATATAGAATTTAACAGAAATTACAGGTGGAGTTGGAACCGTCCAAGAATGAACTTTGTCCTTCACTATAAAAATGGATTGAACTCTTTGGAACAGATCACTGGAGAACAGTAATAATGAAGTAGGTTGAAAGTTTAAGGGATATTTCTATTTCAGTAGCTTCTGCTGATGCCTTCAGATCTGTGGAAATTAAGTGCTGCTAAAGGTGTGTAATGTGCATTTACATTTACTAGTGAATGCTTCTGTTCTGCAGGGTTACCAGGATGTCCGGGATCGCATGATTCACAGGTCTACTAGTCAGGGCTCCATCAATTCTCCAGTGTACAGTCGTCACAGCTACACACCCACCATGTCACGCTCCCCTCAGCATTTCCACAGACCTGGTAAGGGCAACTGCATTAGAAGTATGTGTAAAACTATTGTTTCTTTATTATGCCACTTAGTGGTGGAGTGAAGCACTTGTTTCTTTTAGGAGTGAAAATTCAGGATTGAAAAATTGTTGCGTATTTTAATATCTCATTTTCTACCTGCTTTTTTGTTCTTGACTGTCGTAGTCTTTTGTACTAGGCTATGAGTGTTGCTTATGTCATAAATATGTATCTTCTGGTTTCGTTTCCAATCAATTATTTTTAAAATATTTGTATGTTTCTGAAAGCAAGCAAAAATTTTCAGCAGTGAATCACAAACTTCATTCTGGAATTTGGAAAAAGTATCATATATTGGAAGCAAAAGTTATGGCTTGACTATGCAGAAGTCAGTAATGTAGGTTTACTCCCTTCTAAAAAATTCATTTAAAGCTTGGTGCCACCATAGAATCTCATATTCAGCAGCAAAACACCCATATGTTCCAAATTGCTAGTCATTTTTAAAGCATGTACTCATGGTTCACAAGGTATCTTTCTTAATTAAAGCCATAGGCAATTGCCTGGGAACACTTGAAAACACAGACTTCATTTTCTGGTTTAGCAGTGATGTGCAAGTTCTGTGTGCAATCTAGAAAATGTACAGGTCGTTCAGGTTCCCAGTGCATTCAAAATTACTGGTTGTGTATATAAAAGCTAGACATAAAAATGAACTATTCATCCACACCCAAACAGCGTAAAAATGTATTGCTAAATGCTATTCATTGAAGACTCTTCAAGACTGATTTTATTGTGTATGGTAATGAATTAAATCTTTGTAATCTGTTTTTAAATTAAGTGATACAATCGCACGGTTTCATCTTCCTTGGTGATTACAGCTGAACAGTTGGGATGCCAAAAGCCCATATGCAATAGGAGCTGCATTTTTAAAATTAAAGATTTATAATAGAGCCACCACTGTGGAACTTGAATGCTGTAGCCATTTCCTAGTGGGGGTGGGCTGAAAGCAGCCAATTGTGTCTGTCAGTGAATGCCTTATTTACGGGACCCAGGGGAGGTGGGACAGAAGCAAATTGTGTCTGATACTTGGTGCTGACAACATGACTGTGTTTTAAGATGACGTTACAACTGAAACTGAAAGAGACTTGAAAGCATGAAAAAGCTGCAAACTTCTGTCTCTTGATTCTGACAATTCTGACGGGGTTTTTCCATTTATATCAGTTGTATCAGAGATATGAACAAATCCAGATCCTATTCCAGACTCTACTGTGATTGAGTTTTACTGTCTGTGTTCAGTCAAAGACCTTCCCCAGAAGCAGTCTCTGTTGATGTAACTCTTGTGATGGGCGAATGGGCTCAAGCCACAGTTTGGATCCAAATATAAAATCTTCTCAGAAAGTCCACACCCTAAGGGATTTTCTGAGAAGATATTTGTTCAAACTTATCTCTGCTCAGATGTTCTCATCTTCGACTCACCTGTTACTGTTCCTCACATGACAGAAAAGTAATTCTATCAAATTCATCATTTGATGTTTTCTACCCTGCTTTGGGGTAATCGCTAATACTACTTTAATAATTTTCCTACAGTAATTATTTTCCCACAATAATTATTCATGTTGAATAATAGCACATGTATATTTACCTTTTTTCTCCTAATGGCACTTCTTTTCACCATGTTATTTGCAAGAATAATTTCTCTCTGAATAAACCCAGTGGCCCCAGATAACTTCTCTTTTGCTCCCAGCTAGCCCTTGAGAGAGAAGTGAACTGCTGTATTGACGTTGTCAGCATAAGGTTCTTCAAAAATTGAGTGCTACATACAAGCTCTGAAAAAGTTTGCAGCCTTTTCCTCCTGCTGTGCCCTAGCTGATGTTGGCAGCATTTTTGGAATGTCTTAAAACAATAGAAAACAGCTTGCATGCCTCTTGGCTGACATTTTTTGGTCAGGCACTTTCCAAACCAGCTGCTTTCTTAACTAATTGAGCGTCAGTGTTTGTGATGTTTGCATGCTGGTAGCAAGCTACTTTCAGGTAACAAGGCATAGATCAGAAGCTCATTAAGCCAATAATGTTATGCTAAAATTAGTGATGCAGTTCAAATCTAAGCCTCTCTTCTAATACTTCCTGTAATTTTGTCTAACATTTATGAACCCTTTGGTACGTCTTTAACCTTTTTTTTTTTTTCCTTCCTTCTTTTCAGAATCCTAATTGTTCAATGCCTTTTTTCTTTCCCTTCCTCTGAAGCCTCCTTCCCTGCCTTTCTCTTATTGTTTTTCTTTGTTTTCATTGTGTTCTGCCCCCCGACTCCCTGCTGCCGCAGAGCTGCTCCCTACTGGTGTGCAGCGCTTGTCATACCTGCGCACGAGCAGTCTCAGCTCCTCTCACCATGACTCCCGCCCCAACTCCCCCTTCCGACACCACTTCATCCCCCATGTCAAAGGTAAGGAGCCAGGCCTCTCCAGGGAGTACCCTCCAGGCTGGAGACTTATTAGCATTCTGGCAAAGCTGATAAGGTGTATCTCTGTAAGGTGGTCGTTGGCTGTGTAGCTGAGCATGCCTCGAAATGTGCCCTTGCACTTAGAAAACGTTAGCATAGACATAATGTCCTTTTTTGGAGGAAATATGTCATTTCTAAGGGCCCTAGTTGAAGAGCCACCAAGCATTTACCTGCTAGAAATACACAGAAAACCACTGTCATTTTCTATTTAGAACCTGTATGTGCCTAGTTTAGCTTCTTTCTAAAGTAGTGCATAACAATCACTTCAGCAGTTAGCATATAAAATTTAATTATTAGTTCCACATTCTTAAAGCATGCATTGAAAAATTGACTACACTATTGCCTGAATGAGAGCAAGGTGATCAAAAATATGGAGAAGAAAAAGGTTATATAAATATCAATGGCAACAATGCAGTTAATCTTTGTTTTCCACATTGGCAACGATTAGAGACCAGCAAAGTAAAATTAAAATCTCCAGGCCTTTCTTCAACTAGTGTGAATTGGCAGGCTCTGCTAAAGGCAGTAGCATTGCAATGATTTACATTATTTAAGGATCTAGTCTTCTACTAAATCTTTTATTTCCCATTATTTGTTTTGGAGAAGGATTGTTCTTTTATTCTATCCCTTCAAGGAACTAATTTTTAACTCAATAAGATTTTAGTTTTGTTTCCTGCTTTCTGTGAATGTAGTTTTATGTTAATTTCTACTGGAGCACTCTGACTGGGCCATCTCTTCTTTTGGGGGAGAAGGTCACAAGCTTATATCACCTCAAGAACTCAAAAAGAGGCAGCTGAGTAAGTTGAACATAGATTCTAATCTGGCAGCATTGATGAATGTACTTAATCATAAATTGGAGATAATCAAAAGCAGTTTCAAGAAAGTTGTTGCCATGAACTTTCAAGAAATTATAATAGATCTCAACATCATACATCTTTAGGCATTCAGATCACCATTACTAATTTTATTCTTGCCTTTTCTTAAATGATTTTTGTTAATCTGCACTGTCCACCTTCCTATTATGTCACTATTAAAAAATACCTCACTTAAAAAAATTGGGACCCTTAAAAATAGATACAGTGCTCATTTCAGCATGCAGTTAATTCATAGTCCTTGCAATTTCAACATTTCTTTGCTGTAAATAAAAATTAATGCTCACACTCTTTCAAGTGGCATTTTCATTCTTTTTCAGTTGAGAAAATAGCTTCTTCAACAGATAAATGAGAAGAACTATTGGAAATCCATGCTTATTGTTTTCAGATTTTAAAGAATTACCTGGTGTATAGATCAGGCGTCTCTCTCAGTTATTGGCACAAAAGGCCAAGTGGAATTGCAAGCACTGTAGGCAAAGGGATGGGGATGGTTTTTATCAGATGTGCCATGGAAGATGTAAGAATCCACAATTTTCTGAAGGCCTGAGCATCATTTGTGTGTCGTAACTCAGCAAAGCTCCTGAAAGCTCCAGTTCATGTCACTGTGACAGTGTTCACCACCCAAGGATGTTGTACATGTGAGAAGGGGCAAGTAGCAGGTACCCATGTCTTGTAATTCACTTGGCTGAACTGAAAGAGCAGCCAAATAGCTGGTTGAGAGAAAGAAGCAGCAGAAAAGGGAGATCATTCTGGCACTGGCTGCCAGAATGTAATGGAGCTCCCTGATATTCTTACCTTTAAGGGATTGCCTTGGGTATTCTAGGTGTCTGTTTTCAGAGTTTGAAGAACTGCACTCTTTTCCTGGGGTAGCACTTCTGTGTCTAATAAGGAATTAGAACTTGTAAATGTATCTGAAATGAGGACAGTAGCACTGTTTGGGGTTAATTTGATGTGATGGATATATTTGCAGTGATTCAAAAAAGAGGCATCCTGTGGTCACCTTGTTACTTGGTCAGCATTTCTCACTTGTACTTTTAGCAAGAAGGTGAATTTGATGTAAGTTTGTAAGAAAGATCTCATAAAGCTGTAGTTTTAGGGTTTCTTCTTTTAAGAGTCAGAAAATATGGATCGTGCCTAAACTGCTTTGGTAAAGGGGTGTGATTTCCAAACAGCATAATGATAATTTAAGTGTTATATGACACGTTTCACTTGTGTTATTTTGTATAATCAAGCCAGAAAAGTAGACATTTAGACTGGTTTCAGTGTGTTTTCATACAACATAAGGCTTAAAGGCAAAAGTCAAGAAACTGGAGGAGTGAAAGGGACTAGATATGCCTCAGAAAGTCTTAGTGAGAGTTTGCTGATGGAACATATATGTTGAACAAGCTGGAAAAGCATGTAATATGCATCAGCTTAGACTTCATCTAATCTGATTTGGACTCCCCATTGAATTTGGTCTTGTCTCAATAAAGTACTATCTTTGCTATAAAAGAATCAAAACAAGTCCACAAATGAAAGAAACCCTGACCCTTCTGAAATCAGAGACAAAAGTCTTATTGAGAGCCAGGATTTCATCTCACATGCCTAGAATTTTTCAGAGGCATTCAAGTATATTGCAGAGCTCCCATAAGATTTCCATATAGAGAGCTCCAAAGTATTGTGTATTCCTTTGCTCACAGACCCTTCCCGTGAGGAATCTACCCACCTTTATTGTGAATTTGGGCCTTGGTTTTCACAGGTTCCTGCTTTCCTTCCTTGAGGCATTTTTCTGAAATCAAATCATTTCTGTACATGATAACTATTTCCAGGGGTTTGTGGATGCAGCTGAAAGTTCTGCTCTGGAAAACAGCTGTTTTGGCTGTTCCATGATTTTCAGTTTTGTGTGTGAAATAAGAGCTACACATCTGGACAAGATGAATGATAATTTGACAAAACCTGGATAGGACTTAGGGTTTCAGGTATTTTTGAGCTTGTTTTCCTATGTTTTTTGAGAAGTAGAGCAACTATACTGCAAGCTGACAGAAGGCTCAGTGTTGTTTGCATGTGGGTTTTCTGTCCTGATTCTGTGAACTGAGCTTGTGAATCACACAGTGAGCCCAGTGGTGAGCACTTCAGAAGGCAGCAGGAACCTGCATTACACTGTGCAGTGTATAGGCAAGCAATTATATTCCTGACTACTATGGCAACCTGCTTAACAAATTGAGCTATAGAAAACAAGAACTCCCTGATGGAGCAAAGAGAATGAAATAAAAAAAAAAAGCCTCTAAATTTCATTTCTGAGGCTTCTGTGCTCTAGGGATTGATTTTTATATTAAGTTTATTCTGTTATCTCTTAACCTCCAACCCCCCCAACCTATACACATGCATATTCAACTTTATGTTGAATGTGGGAGCTAGTTCTTTCTGCGTTGGTGTTGGTGGAGTGCTCTTGTTGCTTTGGGGAGTTAACAGTAGTTATGGTATATCTGAGACAGTAAGAGAGAGGCTTTCCTGTGCAGGCACAGCAAGGAACCCAAATTCAGGGCATGCAGAGACCCTACTTTTATGTAAAGCTGCAAGCAGGCCCTGGGAGGCAGGTGAAGGCAGCCAGGAGCTCTGCTTGCCTGTGTGCATATGCACACTCTGCAGATGTTGGCACTGCTTCCATAAACTGTGGGTGATTTTACAGCTGCATCTGAAGCACTTAAGCCTCGTTCTGAGAGTGGTCTCCTCAGGGATGGTCTAATGAGAAGCTAAGTAGGTGTACCATTCCCTCTTGCAGAGGTTGGAGGTAATGAGTCTGCCATCCTAGAAAGTGTAAAGGAGAGTTATTTGTCACTACTGGTAGGAGTAATTAGGAAGGGAGAGACTGCACAGGAACCCCAGGAAATACAAGCCAGCAGAGACATCTGTAGAGCATCATGTGCAGGATGGTACCACAGTAATTGTCTGGTACTGGATGCATTATACAGCATTACCAGCTCTCTCTAAACAAATTATCTGTGTCCCAGATACAAGATTAGCCAGCACACATTTATGCATACTTAGTTGCATCTAGCTGAAATAGGGAGGGGTATAAGAAGGATTTCTTCCCTGTATTTTTAGCGTTGGTGATTGAGGCATTGCAAATTGAACATGCCCACATTTTGACTCCCAGTTCCCAACAGGTAAAATGTATTTGTGACTCCTTCGTTGTGACAAGTCCACAGGTCAGTAAATCCCTTTTGTTCTTCTCTTTCATTGAGCGAACTAATTTCTAATGGAAGCAGAAAGGCGGAGTGACATGTCTCTATATCTTGAGACTATATCAATATTGATGGGGGGATTTTTGCCTTATAGAATAATGATTTTGCTGAAAAATAACTCATAATTTCTCAATACAAACAAAAGACATAAGTAAAATCAGCTTAACCAAGTGAGGTGTTTCACCATCACAATATCTCAAAGGCTGCAGAAGTAGAATTGCTAAGTAACGGACCATAGATTGAGATATGGCAAAAATGTTTTAATTAATCATTCATACTGCTTTTCAGAGTCAGTAAACCTAGCACTTACTGTTACTTGGCCAGAAGCTCAGCATTGCTGCACCCAAATTAGAAAACCACTATCAAGTCATGTGGTTGCAAGAACATCATGTCTTTTAGGGCTGAAATGTCAAAGTGGTAAATATAGAATTTTGCACATGCATTCTTCTGGAAAAATTTTGTACAACCAAGCCCCCTGAAATGGGCATGTAATTTATAAAACATGTATATGCAGATGAGCTAACTTGTATCCTGGCAGAGCCTCTGTGGCACATCTCTTTCAGCAAGGTTTGTAAAGAGCATTTTTTTCTCCCTTTTGGTGCCTTTTAGATTGGCAGATGCCTGTTCAAGTAAAAGATGATTTTTTGTTTAAATTGTAAGGAAAACTTTTTTCTGCTCCCACACCTATCTCCCACCCGAAATATATAAATAAGAAATGTGCTGAGTCCAAGGTTTTGGGTCGTCTAACAGGACATAGGAAACCTGTAGGTGAAAAGAGGCCTGCAATTTCCTTTTTCTTGTGTTTTATAGCTCTCCTGTACTTGTTATCATTCTCACCACCCCCCTACTCCATTTTTTTCTTAATCTGCTTTCCTAAGGTTTTCTAAGCCTTTGTGCATATTTGAAAAATGGAAGGGATTTGATGTTCCCCTACTTTTCACTATTGTGATCATCCCCACTCATGTAAAATAAGCACCCATGCAGATGGTTCTCCCTAGTAGGAAGAATGGCAGTGTAAAAGGCAGCAGCATTCTTTTAAGGTACACACAGAGCCATGTGTTTGGATATCTGGCTGCTAAGTCTCGATACGTGGGGATCAACCAGCATGGTTCTGCAACAGCCCTCTTGCTCTGGCAAGACATAGGAACTTTCAGGGCCATTGGATTGCTGAGGTGCATTGTTAGGAGGCAAAGTAGTCCCAGTAAGAGTAATCCTACAAGTGGAACAAACAGTATGTGCAAAATGGAACTAAAGTTTTTAGGCATTAGATTCAGGTTTGCTAAATCAGCAGTGGTGAAATATTGTCATCAGAGCCCAGTTTGGCATTGACAGAGATTTGGAGTGTCACCAGCAATGTGGGTGCAGCCACCAAATGGGCTGCATTGCTTTACAAATTATTTTGGCATATCAGAATTTTTCTAAACCAGTGAAAGAGTGTGTAATGAACAGTTATGCCTTTTGATATGGGCCAAGTGAGCTAACAGCTATTTTCTGTTTCTAGTTTCTGTACACTTTTGGTTTAGTGAACTGTAGTAACTGCCAGCATCTGCTTCTATCTGCTTTCGGTTGCATATCTAATACTATGCTCCATGTTTGCGCCTTTGAATTCCAAATATCAATCTCCATACTAAAAATTGATTGCCAAGTAACCTTCCATTCTTCTTTTCCACACTGCCCATCTAAGCAACAGCTCTGAGCACACAGCTCCTGCCTGCATGCCGTCAGAATGAGTCTGAGCTGCTCAAACCTCAACTCCAGCCTGAACATGAATTTTTGTTTCTGCAGGAATATCAGGGAGATAAAAAAAGTCACCCAGGGCTACCAGTTCTCCTTATTGTTTGTATTTATATTTTTGGTTCAACTTCTTTTCTTCCTGGAAGTTTTGATTCCACCAGTTTTGTTTGGGTGTGATTGGGCTTGCTTTTTTTCTTTTTCTTTTTTTTAATTGCTCTCCCTCTTCTCATTTTGTTTTCTCCATTTTTTCATTGGAGGCAATGAGCCGTCCAGCGGTCGGAACTCCCCTGTCCCCTATCGGCCTGACAGTCGCCCTCTCACTCCAACTTACGCTCAGGCCCCTAAACATTTCCATGTTCCAGGTAGGAGCTGGCACTGTATGTGTCTTGGTGTCCTGTCACAGTGTAGAATGTAGCCTTCGTAACTTCTGTCTTGTCTCCATCGTTTCACACTGTTTACCATGGGTTTCACCCTCAGGGTTTGGAACTGCTTCTTGGCTTGCTGAGAGGAGTAGTGCCTTAAGAAATATGGGGCTTTGTTGTGATTTTTGCCTGTTCTGTTGGTCAGGTGTTTCACTGTTAGAATGTCGTGGTTTTCAGAGTCTGGTTTTGGCCTGTAAGCTGTATATGAGCTACGTAGGGCTTGATTTTTCTCCCAGTTGCACCATCTGAGCACCAGCATAGCTCTGCTAATTTTAGGAGTTGGTTTTGATTGACATGTAGAAAAGAAGTGGCCAGTGAACCATTACATATGTTGTACATCCAGATTGCTGTGATTTGTTTCAGTCTTGAACCCAATAATTCTAGTTTAGTGTTCCTTCTTTTTAAAGCAGGTGAGGATGTTTCTTTAGTTGTTTTGTGCAATGGCATGGTGTCCTCAGGCCTACCTGCAGATCCACAAGGATATATATATATGCCTTAGGACGTCCTCTCTATAAAAGGCAGTCTCTGTTTTGAAGTGAGCTACAGAGTTATTCCAGCATCTGAGAAGATCATCTGGGATGGGGCTGTGTCCCCATAGGGTTGTGGACATGCATCTGACTGCATCAGTGCTAGCTGAAAGCCTTATTATATCCAGTTATTCTTCAGGTCCCCTTCAGCCTAGTGTCCCTCCACTCTGCCAGAGGTTACTGCTCCTCCTCCATTCCTCAAATCTGGCAAATAAACTGTTTGTGTGCACTCCCTTCAGCCCCAGCGTGACCTGGCCTGGCTAAGGTTGGCTGGTTTAACCGCTTACGCTAACCTGGCTCACTTGGACTTGCGTGAGCTGAAGCATGAATAGCTGTGATAATCTCGAGCACGGTGGGAGAGTGGTGCAGCCACAGAAGGAGCTGTGCTCCTGTCCCACTTAGAGCTTTGTGGTGTAGATGTGCGCAAAAGCACTGCATGACTACCCTTGTGATGTTTGTACCTATTTGCTGGTCAAGTGGCCATAACAGATCACACACAAGAGTGAGATACCACAGTGTCCTTGAGTGCAATGCGTTTGCCTGTATAGTTAGGGATGTAGGGCTCTGCAGAGCAGGACTTGCCTCTGTTTCAATAGATTTTTAGGCTTAGCTTTCCTTAACGCCAAAGGCAAGGTTGTCTTCTGTAGCACTTTAATTGGATCTGTGATACACTGCATGTATTTCTGAAATTCCTTTTCATCTTTCATTCTGTTGTAACTGAAAACTTTTTTCAGGCAGAACAAAGTAGCAAAATGGGTTTCTGATGTTAATTTTCGAATTCCCAGTAGCTCATTTTGGTCTTCTAATAAGATTTTGGCACAGTTTTTCACTGTAGCACTGATTTTGGATTAACTTTTGTATTTGTAGCTGTGCTGAATACATGAAGTGTTGGCTTGGGTGGGAAGGTAGTTTAGAACAAAATGGTTCCTGTCCTAGATTATTGTTTGTAAAAATATGGTAACTTTTAGACATACTGTAGATTTACTGCATTAGAGTTCTGGGAAGTGTTTTTATTCTGATTTACATAAATGATATACAATGTGGTGGGCCTTACATAAAAAAGTTACCAAAAAAAAAAAAGGAAATCTGTCCTTGTGGTTTGAGAATTAGTAGCATATCAGTTAACATTGCATAAAGCATCCCTTTTGACTTTCTGAAGTGTGGCTATTCAAAACAGTGTCCTAGGCAGGTATTTTGTGCTCTGGATTTTGAAGTGAATCATACGCTCACTGCATTCTCTGCTCAATCCAGCCAGTCAGTTGGAAAGAAAATTGAGCTGAAGCACAGTTTTCCCCAGAAGTTATTTGGGAATGGAAAAAGCCATTCCCCAAATGGCTTGTATCTTCACCATTGAAATGTCTTGCCTGCTTACATTTCTTCTCTAACTTATTCCACTTTAAAATCATGACTTGATGCATCTACATGTTACAGAATCAGCTCCAAAGGACTTCATACCACATGTCTTTGACTTTTCACTTGTTCTTATATTTTCTTTTCTTTAAATAATCTGATTTTGTATAATACTAGAAATAGCTTTCTGTTTTTTTCTTGTTTACATCCTTGATTTGGTCTGTGTGTTGTTTTAGTGCTGGAGTTATCTTTATCTACAACCGAAGTAGTTTTCATATTCCCTTTTTTTCTGTGTCTTAATATCACAGATCAAGGTGTCAACATTTACAGGAAACCGCCCATCTACAAACAGCACGGTAAATGATCTTTCCCTTTTTATTTCAGAACTGGAATGTCAACTAAATTATAAGGTGTGCAGACTAGTGAAAAGCATTCAGTTTTTACTTTGTAAGCATAAGTTTAGTAGTCGAAGTTTGAAACCGCTGTTATTGCATGTCCTGCCAAGTGGTTATGTTTTAGATCATGTTGTTTCATTTGGATCATATGGTTTAATCTTGGCCATGTGGATATTAATGGCAAAATTGCCACTAGCTGGGATTTTGCTGCTTCTTTAGCATTATGATGCCTTTCAATATTTCACTTCTTTAAATTTATATTTTCAAAATACAGGTACTGGTCCGTGTTAAAATGCATTAACAACAAACTCTTCTCTGACAGGGAATTCTTGAAATTTCCTTACTTTAAACAGACACAGTATAATAATTTACTTCAACAGCAAAGATGGAGATGCTATTATCAGACTGGAATTCTGAATGTATCTGTGGCTTCAAATAAGAATCTTTAATTAGTGAAGGTATTATAGGTGACACTTATCACTGACAGGGCTAATTTGGTTCTCAGGCCCTGTGAGACAGCTCAGGTAGTACACTGTACTTGTTTTTCCAGGGGTTTGGATTCTGAGTTGGACAGCAGTGTTAGTGAACTAAACTTTTTGGTGGAGATGTTGCTATAGCAAATCTGAAACACCAGTGATGGCAGAAGGCCACTGCCTTGCCTGTCATTAGTACTGCAGGACAAGGTCCCGTTACAATGGAGTGTGTTCACTCTTCCCTTCTCCTGTGAACACAAAACTGTGCATAGGAGATGATTTTTATTTACTGTGGTGAAAGACAGATGACTCCACTTCTTAAAGACTCTTGAGTTTGCATCCTTTTGCAGACTTTTTATCCAGTGAAGTGTATTTAGGGTTAAGTGGCAAATTAGCAGTTCTGCCGGGTTTAGATGAACAGTTGGCTGAGAGGCATTGAACTGAGCTGAGTAGGAAAGCCCAGAAGTCCATTCTGCAGTCAGGAATTGCAAATTACACTGCTCTGGTATTGCATCAGGGTTTTTTCCTTTCTTTTTTTTAAGTTTCAAACCATATGCTCATTTTGGAAAAAGTCTTAACATTGTTTCTGTTTATTTTTATGGTTTTAATGTATCTCCTCACCTCCCATTAACATGTGAATGTTTAACCTCTGACATCACCAATTCTAATACGTAAGTACTGTTTGAAGTCATGCTTTTGTAAACTCTGACCAGCTTCCTCCATGCCTGCAATTATGCTTAGATTTTCCCAGTCATAAACTGGTCAGAATTACCAATGATATCTAATACTGATGTTCCTAAACTACCCTGAACGTGTTGGATGAGCAAACAGGGCATCACTTCGTTAACAGATGTCTTTCTGTTTTTAAAACAAAAAGAGAAAAGGAAAAAAAGTCCAGCACCCTTGCTTCTGATACAATAGCTTCATGTAAGTGAAAGTGATTTGAGCTAACAGTTTGCATCTCAAGAGGTAGTTAAGGCTGGGTTTAATGTAAACTGAATCCTATTGGATTTTTTTTTGCTTTTTAATGTCAAGAAGTGAAAGCCATAATGCACATCCTCACATGCTTTTATGAGACTTTGGCTTAGAATGGAATCTTAAGTGGATGCCCATGGCTGAGCTATTTTATTGATGAGGTTCAGTGCATTGCAAGTGCCTTTCCCTGCCAAGTTGATCTGAATGGAGTTTAGTATTTATTAATAAGTTTACATCTGCTTTTGCTACTACTGCATGCTATAAGCAAGAGCATGCAGCAGAAAAAAAATTCCCCTAGTTAAATGTGTTTGTTTCAGGTTTCTATTTTTTGTTTGTTTTGCAGCTTTTCATAGAAATATAGGAAATAATTATCATCAGTAGTGTTAAAATTAGTACTGTTCCTCTGAACTATATGTTTTCTTGCCCTAGAGGGAAGACAGATCAGTACATAAATCTGGGTTCATCTTCATTAATAATCAGCTGTCCTTAAGAGATATTGATGAATACTCATAGGCTGAATTTTCTCACTCTTGCCTAATCATTCTTACACTGTGAAACCCTAGTAAAATCCAAAGCTGATTTGGGGTTATTTTGGGGGTGGGAATGTGGGAGGAGAGGAAGGTTCGATTCCAGTCTATTGGCAAGAGAAAGGCATTACCTTGCTTCAAATTGCAATTAGAATAGCAAAACATGAAAATGTTCACTTCTGAAAATTAACTACTTGTAAAGTATAAAATTTCGCCAGAGTAAGGAAGACCTTTGTATCGATACAGATTATTACATAGCTAAGTTCCCTGATTGCCATCTAGATGCAGCTGCTTTGGCAGCACAGAGCAAGTCCTCCGAGGATATCATCAAGTCCTCCAAGTTCCCAGCAGCTCATGCACCAGCACCCAACGAGATACCAAAGATTGAGACGGACCACTGGCCAGGTCCTCCCTCCCTTGCTGCCATAGGTATGCAAAAGCAAATGGTACAACGATGCGGCTTGAAAGGTACTGGTAACCAAAGTAGGTTAATAGTGGAGCTGTAAAAATGGGTAGTAAAGGTGGCGTCCACTCCAGATGTTCACCACAAAGTGCAGCTCTTCTGGTGAGACTGCTGAATGTCTGAATCTGAAACTGTTGAATTTCGCTGAGTAGAAGAGGTTTTGCTAAAGGATTTTGGAACTGATCACACAGATTAGCCCATAGGAAAATTTTGTGAACTCTAGTGCAGTAGCTTAAAAAATGTGGTGTGTCACACAAGCCTGACTTCTTTCAGTTATTCTATTTAATCTTTTAGTCCTAAGCTAATAGTAGTTATGCCACAGAAAATATTATTGCTTCCAACCACATGACTAATTTCATGGCAAGAAACAATGTCTGAATTGGAACAATTAACAGACTAAATAAGTCCTGATTTTCAGAGTTATTGTTTTTAGAGACTTTGTATTTTTCTTCTGTGTCATAGCACTACACATATTTTTTTCTTTAATTCATGTGCATCATCATTTTAGATTTTTTTTTTTGCTTTGTATTTTTTTCTCTGTTAATTTTCATTGACCCTATAGCATAAAATAAGCTGTCTAGCCTGATTCATTTATGAAGACATGTCTGAAGCACTGAGGTGGTGTTTGTTTCAGGTTTCTGCGAAGGAATGTATGGCTTTCATCACAGTGGGATCTTCAGAGAAGTGCTGGGAGAGGAGACACAGGGTGGGAGAGCACAGTGACCAACTGAAGGGGCTGCACATGCAGCAGCAATTTTTTGAACATGTCCTTTAGATAGGATTGCAGCCTGACAAACATGAGTTACAGGGATAAAACATCTGTATATTTGAAACATCTACATACTTGAAACACTGAGTTTGTCCAGCATAGGGTTGGTGAAAAACTATATCAGATATAGCCTGTGCAGTAAAAAAATACAGCTGCTGTCTAAATGGTTGCACCAATATCACATTCTATGTATTCATGGAAGAGTCCTGGCATCCAAATTGGATTATTTCTTAAGAATATTCAAGAAAATAAAAATTATTCAATAAAAACTAAGAAACTAAAAGGTAAAACACCTGTGTCTTAATTAATTTTAGCTTTATCCAATGGATCAAATTAATTTACTTCATTTAAGACTAAAAATAATGCCTTGTTTATTTCAAATATGAGCATTCATTTAGGAGACTATTGTAGTTTAATTTTCCATTTGAAATGCTAATTCAGATTTGCTTTTCTGAGTCTAGATAAAAGTGTAAATGTAAATCAGACTTTAAGTTTTCAGCCGCTGATCTAGTTACTGGTGCTATTAAACCCCATTTTTCTAGAACTAGCAATGTGAGCTCCTTTTCTCTATTACATTGAATCTTGGCTTTTGCATCCAGAACCATTGCTTGGTTTGGAGCTCACGTGCAGTTTAAGCTCTTGTTTATTTTATAGCAAGCCTGATAACCATAAGGCAGGCTATCCAAGTGCGTTTTATTAAGAGTGAGCTTTGAAAAAGTCTTTTGACTTTGCAAGAAATTACTGCTTTGTTTATTCAGCAAATCAGACTGACCAGTACTTTGAACTGGCATTGAAATCTTCAAGCTGTGGTTGCACTGGTACACAAAGCTGTCTCTGTACTGTGGTTTTATGGAAGCAGGAGCTGACATGAGACGCAGATCAAGTGGAAGAGAGGAAGATGATGAGGAGCTACAGAGGCGCCGGCAGCTGCAGGAAGAGCAGCTCATGAAGGTGGTTATGAATTTGTCTTCATGCTATTTCTGAACATCCTGTAGAAAGGGCCCCTTCGTTTTCTGTAAGCTATTTCTACCACTGTCTTGATCAGCTTTATTTTACTGATATATCTTTTAATTGCCATTTATAGCTCAACTCTGGTCTGGGACAGTTAATATTGAAAGAAGAGATGGAAAAGGAGAGTCGCGGTAGGTCAGCCCTTTCTGCCAGTCGTTACGATTCTCCAGGTAATTAATGTAGGCAATAGAGCTAATAATGAACAGTGAATAATAAACAACATGTTTACACGTATCAGGCAGTGTCCCAGAAGAGAGACAACTGGGAAGACTGCTTGATATGTGTATGTGTGGTGATCTGCCCTGAAAGAGTGGCCTAATTCTTTACCTGGTTTTGGTGAGGGTGGGAGTGTCATGGCTGGATTTTAATTTGAGGAAATATGAAGTTGAGGATTTTCAGGCAATTCTAAAGAGAGAGATGTTCTAATATAAATAAGGAGTGAACTAAAGTGTTTGGTGACTGTCACATTGCATACGTGCTAATAGACTGGGCTATTCAAGTACAATAACACCTTTTGCTTAAACTGATGGTTCCTCTTCCTATTTAGTCTCTTCTCCCAGGGAAAGAAAATCAGCAACATTGACCAGAAGAGCTGCATATTTTGAACACAGCCAGAGTTTTGACCTTGGCCGACATTTTGATTCGGCTGTATTCTGTTCCAGAGGAAAAGCAAAAAAATTAACTTTGATTAATTGGTGGCTTAGAATCTTTGCCTCATCCCACATTTTGATATACATTTGTGGCCTTCTCAGACCTCCAGAGAAGGGTTTGGAGATTTTATTTCACTCGTTTCATTCACTGTGCATTGTAACACTGCAGCTGTACTTTGAGTCAAGAAGGGACAAGATGAGTCTATTTGGAGTCTCTGGAGGAGCTGCCAAGCAGACCAAGATTTCCTTGTGTTCCCTGTTGTATAAGTGTGTTGCCTTGATGGCCTTGGAAAGGATGCCTGTGGCTCTCCCTCACTGTCTATAATTTTTACAGGGCCAGTCTACCTGCTCAACTCAGAGCTTATGATTTCTTTATTAACCTTAGCACAGGATGGAGGACTCCTTTATTTGTGTCCGTCCCTCTTTGCAGGGATAATCAGTGCAGCCATCAGCTGCCTTTTGTGGAATCGGTGGCATCTTTCCCAAAACTGCTAATTGTTGGCAGCAATAGTGCCTCAAGTTCTACATTCCCCACCCTCCTGTGGTAAAAATAACATTAAAAACCACCAAAAATTGCATTTTTATTTGGAGGATCTTGTCTGAAGGAACTGTATTAACGGTAGAGTTGCTATTGATCGCTATGCTAACAATCTTTATATTTATCCACATTTTTATCTATGTTTAAAAACACACTCTGGACATTTCAATAATTATAATTTTTGTTTAGAATGCCAAATTCTCAACTTGTTTGAATTCAGTTAGCACTGCCCATTCCCATAGTTCTCCTATTGAAGTCAGTATCCAAACATCTGTCAACTGCAGTGTTACAGGACCAAAACTAATACCCTTTTCTTCTTTGTAGCAACAAGTTGCAAGCTGCAGCATGTCAATAAGAGAGAATGGAGTGTGCTGGTCATGTGCATCTTGGCTTGGGCAGCATCAGAAACTGGGAGCATGAGTGCAATAATCTTTGAGTAGGAAGGATAGAAAGGTTCATTCAATTCATGAAAGGCTCAGAGGGTATGATGATATATAAACCACATGTGCCACTTAGGAGAGTGGAACTGAATGGACCTGCATGAGAGACTTTAACAGGAAACCTGTCCAAATACTGCTGATCTTGGATTCTCTATGTACTTTATCTTGGTCCCATCTTAAGTTGCACAGCAAAACTTTATCTAGATAAGGAATGAAAAGTTATTTTGCACTGTTGGCTGATCCCTGAGCATTACTTTCAACTCAGTGGAGAATATTTTGATTTTGAACGTGGCAAAACCACAGTGCCCTTTCTTGATGATCTGCCACCATGGCACAATAAAGCTGCATGTAACTTAGAGAGTGTGTGAAAGTTTGTGTTGAGTTTGAGCTGAAAGATTAGTTTCTTAAAGTCAGTGTATCCAGTTGTGTATCTGCTTGACTACTTTAACTGTGTATTTTATGCTAGTTCATTCCTCAAATGTTCTAACTTTTGAGTTTCCATGGGATTTTTCCAGTAAAATGTTTTCCCTTCCTCATCCAACAGCACATGCTTCAGCCTCCAAAACCTCTTCTCTCCCTGGGTATGGAAAAAATGGACTTCACAGGGTAAGAAAATGGTGATTTTGAGAAGTGAAAGGTGGCTTTAATTATCCATGGTATTTATTTCCATATTAACTGTACTGGATTTTCAGTTTGATTAATATTTCTTATAAGACCAGCTGAAGTCAGACAAAACCTAATTTCCCTTCCCTCAGACATTGTTAAAAAAGCAAGAAACCAATGCAAGAAATGTTGTGAAAATTCTGAGGGAAATAAAAGACATAAAGCAATTTATTTTGCCCATATACCAACCTGCTTGTGAAGTCATGAATTGTGAATTTATGTGCATATCCCTCTTTTCCTTTTACAGCCGGTGTCTACAGATTTTGGTCAGTACAACAGTTATGGGGATGTGAGTGGTGCTGTTAGAGGTAAGGCTGAGGAGCCTTTTTGTTACGGTGTTGGATCATTTCTGCTGTTTTATTTTAAAGTTGTGGATGTGGTTACTTTGTATTTGCTCAATACTTTTTAACTTCCTCTGGTAAATTTGACAATTAACTCAAACAGTTCAAATACCTGTAGAAAATATTGGGTTTATTCTGCCAAATCTGCTATGTGGAACTGATCTTGTTTATGCCAAGGGACTGCTTTAGCATTGGATCAGATTGCAAGTGAGTAATGTGTGTGTTAGCAGGAATATGAACTGAGTTCTGACATGGTGTTTTCTGTCTCTGAAAATTACCATCCACCATGCAGTCTGAAGAATGTGCCACAGTGAAGAAAGGAGGATAGTGCCTTCTAATCCCCATTGCTGCTCATGATCTTCATTATGACTGAGCTAGATGTGGTATCAGTCATTGCCTAATAAAAATTGACAATAACATTTATGAAAGTTATGAAACTTTGAGAGTTAATGTTTTGAAATGTTTTGAGAAAGAGAGCTATTTTCCAAAGTGAGATTGATCCTGACTGTCTTAGGTACCCTATGGTCAGGCATCTTCTATTGGTGCTTGAGTCTCTTAATAGGCTGTGGAGGAATCTAGACACCTACCTTGTGACAGAAGTTACTTGAGCTGAATCCTGCTCAGCACATTTGAATTTTTATTGGTTCTTTATTCACTTGATTGTGGCTGTGGATCTCTTAATATTTCCAAAGTGACCTGCTTTTCCTGAATGAGAAGCCTGCTCAAAATAAAAAGGACTGCAATACTTGGAGTGTTTGAATCTACAAACTAAGTCCAAAATTCGAGATGTTTCTAGACCTAGAGAATCAGGTGGGATTTTGGAAAGATCAGGTAGACCAGAAGACAGAAGGATTATCTGGTAGGTTGTAACTGATTCTTGTTCTTCCACACTCCAAAGCTGATGAGACTTCTCTTTTGCTTTTCAGATTTCCAGGTAGAGTACGGGTTTTCATCAATCAACTGACAGCAGAACCTAGAGCGTCTACTTGTTCAAGTCTGAATTTCTGCTACAGGGAAGGGTTTCTTAAGACAATAGCTTTGATTTTCCTGCATGTTTAAGCATAATCACCAATGTAGATTCTTATCAACAAAAAAATGGGCACAGCCTCGGATTCCTCCTTGTTACCTCCCCAGAGCTGGGTTGAGACAGCTCACACCAGTTCTGTGACTTGCTCTGTAAAATCCACTGTCTGTTTATACATGAGTTATCTGTAGTAGTCATCTCTGGACATGTGAGGGTGGATTTATTTTCAGCCTCTCTAGTACTGGCCCCAGAGACATATAGAAAGTCTCTCCTGGAGGCACTTTTTTCCCATAGCAGGAGCTTTGAACTCTTCATTTTTACCCTGGAATTTGCTCTCCAGACAAGATGGCTGATCAATAGTTTTCTACAGTGCTGCCATCATAGATGAGCCAGAAAGAGGTGTGCTTGCAAATAGAAACCTTTTTACTTCAAATACTGCCTGCAGGTTTTTTTCCAGAATGGTTTGAGTCTAACTGGCTCCTCAGCACAATCACAATATGAAATTGCAATTTGAGAAAGAGTTTAATTACTTGGATATTTTGTTAATGGCGTATCAAAATCATGATGATTGGAAAGAGAATAAGATTATGGGAGGGGAGCAGAGTTGTCTGTATATTGTGCTCCAAATGTTATTTCCTTAGAAACAGTACCTGTGTCAAAAACAGCACCTTTTTACCCTATCCCCATTTGTGTTCATAGTAAAAATTTCCCATTGTAGAGACAAAAAAAAAAAAGTCCCTCAGTTGATACAGTAAATGACAGGAAGGAAAGCCCAGAGTTATAAGAGAGCTTTGTATGCTGTTGGGGAGGATCTGAATTAATGTTTCTTTGTATTTGACTGGAGAAGAACTTTACTAAGTCACTGGGGTGGGAAAGGGCCTACCACTCTCTTGGGTTGCCCAGATCCAGCTGGGAAGTGATACTGGTGAGTGGGAAGCTCTCACCAGCCTTGGCAGTGACAGGAGGCTGTGGTGGCAGAGAGGATTGAAGGATCCCTCTGTGAGCCTCAGAGAAGTAACAATGTAGTAGCCATGGCAATGATCTATAAAATAAGACCAAGTAGTAAGACTTGAAGGAAGTCTCAGGGCAAATTCACCTTTGTTTTCACCACTACTTGAGTGCCTTTACCCTCTGTGTGTGTAACCTATGTGTCTGATGTATACCTGTATCTGATGCAGTCCCTCCCGGATGGTCATGTCCCTGGAATGAGAATGGACAGAGGAGTATCTATGCCTAACATGTTGGAGCCAAAGGCAAGTGCAGATGTTATTCACTTTCCTTCAAGACAGTGAAGATTTGACTGTGAAATGCAGATAAAATATGGGAAATGTCTTAGTTCCCTTACTTTTCTTTACCTCACCTCAGTCCCTGCTCCTTATGTGCCAAACCTCTCCCTTTGTTCTGGACTTTGCCTGTTAACAGGTGTTAGTGCTCAGGCAGGCTGAGGGCAGCCCAGGGGTGCTTCCTGGGATAAGGAAGCTTTTCTAGAGACAAACTGAAGGATACTGAAGGTGCTCAATAGGCAGTTCTCTCTCAGACTTTCACTAGCCAAAGCAGCAGGCCAGACTCAGTGGGAAGATCTCAGATCTGTCCAGTTTGAAAAGTGATGCAGAATACTGTGGCTCACAACACACTGTGGAGGCTGTCATAATGTAAAAGTTAGGGAAATACATGGATCTTTGATTGGATGTCTGTCTGGATCTGTTATTTAGCTCTTGGCACTGTTAGCCTGACCACCTGTCAATAATGTTGAATTCCCTATATGAGAAACTCTCCAGGAGATTCATTGGAAAAAGAGACGATGTCAGCTAATTATAATTTAATATACAAATTAAAATGCTTTTACAGCTATGTCTAGAGATGCCTGAGTCAAAAATGAACGTAATACATAGAGGGAATTAAACTAGAGCTGTGTTTTAAATCTTTCTTTATTGCTGGTGAACCTTCCATGAAATCATGATTTTGCTAAATTTACAAGGATCAGAATTTCTACAGTTAAGTGAGGAGCTGGTTTTGCAAACCAGATCACTACATGTGCTTCCGAGTCACCTCCAGACAAACTGTACAAGGCAATAACCCTGGCTTTATAAGCTGAGACCCCAGAGCAATGTATAGTTACAAGTGGTTTTATATATTATATAAATAAGACCCTGGGGACATTATCAACTCCCGAGCTACTACTTTTTATTCCAAATAATTTCTCTTTCAGTGCAATAGAAATTCTTAAAGCCACCACTGCTGTTGATGCACCCAGTGATTTGGAATGTTATTTTGGGTGACAAATTCTGTCAGTATTATTAATGATAAAATTTATGGCAGTTTTGATGAGATAATAGAACACATTCTGTTGATGTTTATAAAGGTGATGCCGGACCCTCAGCATGTGTGAATCGGCACTATTTTTATTCATGTCAATGGGCCAACAGTAACTTAAACCTGATAAAGTAAAAGAAGCTAACTCAAAGTCAGCATGAAACACATGCAAAAATTAGTAACCTTAAGAAGGACCAAATCTTACCAAATGGTTTTCCAGAAAGGACAGAATTTGTGCATCCTGCCAACCCAGATTGATACATGCCTTGTTATGAATATTTAAATATAAAATGTACTTATGACCGTAGATCTTGACTTAAACTCTGCCTGTTTAAATATGAAAAGTTACATTTTAGTTTCCTATAATGCTGTATATGGTAGCCATTTCCAGTATCAAACATAAACAATGTAATTCCAAGTATAGACTTAATTGTACAATTGTGACATTGTCAGAATCTCATAAGAATCATATCTTACAATTGGTATGTAAGCACACGTTATTTAAGTTATTATTACTTACAATAAACTCAGTGGTGTGTTCACTGATGCCTGAATGTTATTTATTACATTTTTGAAAAGTTCATTGGGACAATTGTTAACAATGGAATGAACTTAATTGCTGAGTACTGCACAAAAATTGGTTAGGTTGAATTTCTTCTGATGTTAAAATAATGTAATTAATCACATTTGATAATAGCTACTTCTCCAGAAGAGTTTTGGTGGTCTCACTCCTATTCCCGGTGGGCAAGGAAGACAAGACCCATAAATGACAGTAAAGGCTGAGCCAGTCGCCACTGAAGTTTACGGAAAAACTTCACTGACCCCAATAGGTGTTGGATGAGGGGTCTGGGAATGCTGCTTTCCCAGTCTGCAGAGACATGCAATGAGAAGGACTCTAGAGAGGCTCTGGCAGATGGAACATAAGCTCTCCTAAGTCATTCCAGGCATGGAAATGTCTGCCCAAGGAGAAAAATCCTAGAAGAGAGTTTTATTTGCCAGGGATGATTCCAGAAACTGATTTTGAGATTTTCCAAATCCTTTCCAAGCAGCATTGTATCTATTGGATTAGGCTGATTTGAGACCCACTGACAGTGAACATTTTACTTCAAAGAACCTGTGCATGTAAAACATGCAATCAGGAATTTATTATGTGCCAATGTCTGACTGTGTATAAATTCTGGACATTCTTTGCAATGTAAAGGGAAATCAAGGGGAATGTTAATGGGAGATGTGCTGGACACATACTCTTCTGAAGCAGATTAAGATGCTTAGGACAAATATGTCTACAAAAGTATCTCCTTTAATCCATGTGTGTATGGCACAGCCAGCAAACACAGTGGGCAGTTTTTTTTTTAATTCTTTAGTTGTCCAAAAAGGTGAAGAAAATGATGTGATAAATTCTATTGAATGCAGTGGCACTGACAAATTAATATCTTGTTGATTCGGAGATCTGAACTTTTGACTTTTTTTTTTTTGAAGTCTGCTCACTAATTGTCTGTCCTTAGAGCTGTCCACACTTTAGACCATTAGACCAATGAGCAGCAAATGCAGTTACCTTAATAAATTTTTACACTGATGGATGAGAAAGTGTATGGACTAGAAAGGACTCTATCTGACCAATGCCAGACGATGTATTATATACAACATAAAAATGAGTGGGGTGGACAAGTACATAGTGGCTTCACAATATGAGGCAGTTCAATACTAAACAAGCCCTGGCTATGTCCAGATGGGCTTGTCTTCCATGCAACATTAGGAAAAAATGATAAGAAAAAAAGAAGCTGTTAATTCCTTTGAAAAAGAAAACAAGTGTTTGTGTGTTTATGAAAATGAGACACATTTTTTTCTTTCTGCTTTAGACTATAAATATAAATATAAATATCTCTTTTTCCCCCTTTTATACATTGTTAACAGATTTTTCCATATGAAATACTCATGGTGACCAACAGAGGGCGAAATAAAATACTAAAAGATGTAGACAGAACCAGGCTTGAGGTAAGAGAAGCAAGTTCCTAAATGCTCTTTCCTGCTGAAGTTGTTTATCGTTTGTGACAGCTGAAACACTGAAGTGTGGGTCCTGGCTAGACTGGGAAGATTTCTCAGCACTAATCAGGGAAAGAGGAATCAGACATTGGGAAGAAGCAGCCTTATTTCCATTAACTGTGCTGAGCTGGGAGCCCCACGCCTCTATGTCCCTGCTCATGGACTGAGCTTCTCACCCCTTATGTTTTCAAGCATTTAATAATATACTTGTGGATTTTTTAAAAGCCCAAAATTGCACAAGTGTCATAGGTGCCATATTGGAATGGAGCAATACTTTGTTTGATCTTGGATCATCTTTTACCTAAAAGTCAGTGTCAGCCATCCTTGACGATCAAAAGTCATGAGTGCTGTGACTTAGTTAGACTGGATGATATCCAGAAATACAAGAATTTAAATCTCTGCCAACAAATAAAAATAGTTTACAACTTTGCGGATTAGAAAGACTTAAGCAGCCCAATGGAATCCTGGGGATGTTTAAGTCGTTTGTAGTTAGTTAATATTCTGTGGAGATGAATGGAAGGAGCCACAAAAATTTGGGTAATTTGGGTTTATGCCCATTTTTAGACTACTAGGTATGTGATCACTAGTCAGAATTCAAAGCTGTATTACATTAGTGCCACGGGGAACTCTAGTTCCATCCAGTAAACTCTGAAGTGGCTGGACAAGAAGTACCTTGTGCACGGGACAGACAGCACCAAAAAATGTTTCACTAGCAGTAGTGTGCTGGACAGTTGGTCTGACCAGACATCTTCCTTCTCGGAACTTCGAATGTAGTATGTCAACCTGCCACCCTCCTGCAGAGCTCTCCTGAAACCCAGTGTCTGTTTGGACTTCCACATGTAAGCAGAGGTGACTTGCTAAAGCCTGGGACAGGGGCATGCAGGAGCTAGTTTTGTTCTCTGGTCTATCAGTGCTTGTTGGATGACTTCAGACAAATAATTTTTCTGTCTCTTGCTTATTCAGCAACTGATTTCCTTTGTAAACTTCTCACACTTAAAACTTTAATTGATTCATTGGGCACCCAAGTTCATGAGGACTTGGATACATGTATTGCAAAAGCCTTGTTTTTTCCAGCAATGGCTCTTACACAGCAACATGAAATCCCTAAGGAACTCCTACCTCCTCTTGTGTCTCTTTGGCTTTGACTGACCATTGCCTTTTCTCCTTTTTTTTTTATTTTATTTTTTTTTAAAGCGTCATTTAGCGCCTGAAGTTTTTCAAGAAATATTTGGCATGACGATACAGGAGTTTGACAAGTTACCTCTCTGGAGACGCAACGACATGAAGAAAAAAGCAAAACTCTTTTAATTTCCCTTTAAACAAACCAACAAAAAATGATGCATAGGATGCTGTATCATACAGTCCACACTGTTTGGAAGCAACTACTTATCCACCAAAAAGGGAAAATCACATAGTGGCACCTCTGTACACAGCAACCGAACAAGATGAACATTTGCCCTCCTGGAACACAAAGAGAAAAAATCTGGGCTCAGAAACAACAATGATAGTTTTCAGGGGTGTTGACCTGTTACATGATATGATACAAGATAGAAAACTGTTCTGTTCTTCTCCCTCAATGATACTCCCTTTACTTCTCTCCACAATATGATGGACGTTATTGCTAGAGCCAGGAAGTGCCCTTAGGATGCCTTGTAGACTAAAGTAGTTGTAACCACTCCAAGAACTGGAAAAGAAAATATACATATATAAATATATATATATGTATGTGTGTTTGCCCGTGTGCGCACCTGTATTTATATCTATCCATCTATCTCTGTGTGTGCGTGTATGTGTGTGTATATATGTGTGTATATACGGAGAGGAAGATAGATAGGTGCTCTGTAGTGAAGGAGAAGCCCCTTGTAACTTATCCACATGGTCACATAAGTCTTTCAGCCAGCTGTTTCTTGGCACTCTTTTGCAATGGCATCTTCTTCATGTGAAACAACCTGCAACGGTGGGCGCTCAGCTCACTTACAGTACGTACCAGTTGGATTTCTGGAAAATGGATTCCTTGTATATATTTGCTAGGATATAAGAAGTGAATTGCTGTGTGTGTTGTCAGTCTTCCCTTTTCCACACTTTCTGCTTGAATTAATAAGGCTGGAGAGTAACCAGTCCTTTGAATAATTTAAGATCACTTAAGTAACGGGAATGATGGAGAAGAGTCAGTTTTCTTGTAATTTACTCCAGGAGATGGGTGGGTGGGGGTGGGAGTGGGAGTGACAGAGTGAGAAAATGCTTTTTTAAGTGTGCCCTGGTTTGCACCCAGAGATTTTGGGACAAACTCCCTGCTAGTGATTACTAGTACAGCTCATCAGACTGCAGTGGAGTTGTAGGATTTTACATTGACAGGGAAGGTTCTCTGCAAGCTAACATGCAAATTCATCCCTCTTAGGGAGGGATGTTTGTGAATGAAAAGGTACCATCGAGGTGCCGCGCTCTGCCAATAGAGGCTTTTTGATTAAACTGCAGTTGCTGTTGTCGATATGGCACAGTGCATGGGGCCAAGCACTCTTTTTAGTTAATGTAGTTTTTCACTTGTGCTTGGAAAAGAGGGCACAGACTTTTTTTTTTCCTCTCTTGAAGCATCAAAGCTCCAGCCTTGGTTATTTTTATTTCCCTTTGTGCCTGACTTGGTTTTTGAAGACAGAGTAATCACGCAAGACAGTTTCCAAGCTGCATTGAACTCCTTATTGCTTTCAGTCTTCTTCCAGTATGCTGCAGCTTAAAAAACTGCCTGTATATACCTTAACTGCTTCTGGGCAAGTCCTATACATAGGAGGACATGAGCACCAAAATAATTGAATGAGTGCATTGTGGCTGCCAGGTCAGCTTTTTCTCTTCTGTGGTGCTTAACTGCCAATGCATACTGCACTAATGAGCCTGTCTCCTGATACGGGAGGGGGTCGTTTAGGTTCTGTGTCTGTCAAAGAATATCAAGGTTTCCTTTTTAATGCAGAAACTTCAGGCACTGGAGGCATCAGAACCTTTGTATTTTCTGTTCTGTGAGACATTGGTGTTCAAATCCGGAAGTTAGGAAGGGGAAACAGTCCCATGTAGTTGTGAGATTCAGTATCACTGTGTTGAGTTCTCTATATCACCAAATGACATTTCACCATGAACTGTGCAGGGCAGCCCAAAAATCCTGCCTCTTCTTTGCTGGTTTAGGAAGTCCCGATGCAACAGATCACTGTGGTTCCTTTGATAAAGTCTGAGATGGAGATTCAGTATATGAGAGACAGAGACCAGGGATCACCACCTGCTCCACGTCCCTATTGCTGAGGGAATGGTGAGTCTATGGGACAAGCTGGAGAACATCCTACCATGGAGATCCAACACCACAGTCTCCACTGAACAGAAGTCCCCAGTGAACACTGTGACACACACACTTGTGAGTGAGTGAGCTCTCTGGGTAGTACTGAGATTGCAGCAAGAATCAATGTAACATGTTTTAACTTTATTTTTCAGAACATGCATCTGAAAGCTTTTTAGAGGAGCACTGAGAAGTGCTAGTTAGGGGCACTGGCAGATGCATTTTTGAATGACTGCTGAAACCAAATCCATATGATTGCAGAACAGCAGTGTTTTACAGTCAGGGAATTTGTGAATGGTGGGGTCTGGGAAATTCGGTGTGTTACCTGCAAGGTGTGGCTTAATTTTGAGATGAGCATGTGAGTTTTAATGCATTTAAATTATTAAAATTCTCCAAATTTTGTTCAGCCCACATCCTGTGGACAATGTGTGCTGCTGCCTCTCAAACTGTTAGGCATTACGGGTCTTTTAGTCCAAGTCACCTTGACAATACACCTTTTAGATCTGAAAATTTGGTCTCTCAAGGATGTGAGCTGCCAGTCTGCATTTTTCTGTTCCCATCTCTAGATTACTATAGAACTTCTCACAACATATATGAATAGACTACCCAGTCATTTCAGAAATGACTAAGCCATGTTGTTTCCTCACCTCTGCATCCTATGCAAAAAAAAAAAAAAAAGGTTGGGAAGAAAAGAGAACTTAGCCTCCTAGGCTGTGAAGAATGACATGGTAATTTGTATCTGCCTCATCAACTGAGAATTTAGAACTGTAATTGAAGCTTGGGAAGGAATGAAGAGAAGCCAGCTTAGATGCTGCTGAAACAATTCATCTCTAGCTGGATTTTTTTGGCCGCTGCTGGTTCACATCTCACTGGTGTGGAGCAGTCAGTCAGTTCACAGTCCTCTGCACTAGACTTAATATTGCTTTATTTCTGATTAAGAACATGAAGGGTTTTCTGAGCTTCAGTTTCATGCCCGTAGTTACTTCCCAGCCATCTACATGTAGACACACCCCAAGCGATTTTTGTCTGTCCACAAAACCCACACTGCAGCCAGACATGGGGGGGTGTTTTCTGCAGTGGGCTCTTAGTGATTGTCACTGCAACATTTTCTGTTCTTTCATCTGGTCTTCCCACCTAATAAAAATGAAATGTAGCCCCAGGGAGAATTTTCTTTGTAAGCAATTAATCACTCTCCTAGTATCAATCGAGTAGCAGTTCTTTGTAATTCCTCTCTTTGATTTTCTCTTGAGATATGTCAAGAGTTGGACTAGATGATCTTTAAAGGTCCCTTCCAACCCAAACCATTCTATGAGTCTATGAGTATGCCTTAAGTACATGCTTATGTTCTTCTATCTCCTGCAAAGCGTTTGAGCTTCTGATAAAGTCCCATCCCATCAGTGCTGTCAACAGAATGTCATTACCAAGAGGACTGAAAACTGATTGGTTTTGTCTTCCTTTTTCTGCTTTAGGAGTGATGTAACAGCAAAGACCAGTCAAAGCATTGCAAAATAACCACGTGTACAAAATGGAATTATGTATGCATGCGGGTTCTCAAACACAGGTGCACTTGTAACACACGCACTCCCCATTTGGAGTTCATTAAATGTGGTTTGTGATGTGTTGTGGCCATGGCTGCAGTGTGCTGTGAAAGGTTAGGCTTGGAGAACAGTGAACTCCTCAGTAGCTCTATGTGGGACAAGACAGCTCTGTGGCTCCAGTAGTGCTCTTACTTCGATCAAGACAGATGTCATTTCTCCTTACAAAGTCCTATAGTCCTAAATCTGTAGGCCAAGCACTGAGGTGCTTGCTTCCCTTTTCCTGTTGCAACTTGGAAATCTTTTCTGAGCCATGTAGTTCAGATGTCTTGCTGTTCAAGCGAGGTCATCAGGACCCTCTTTTGTAAAACTGCTACACTGAAATTTTGCTACACTGAAATTAGACACATTTTGAAGTGAAATCCTTTTCCACAAGCCCTGTGTTTCCTGGTAGGGTAATAGCAATGGACAGAGAAGGGTAAAGGTCTGAGAAGGAGGGCTGGCATAAGCCGGGGTTTGGCAGGGTGATGTTTAGCAGGATTAGAGGAAGACACTGGTATGAGCCTGTAGTACCTGTTTCAAACTGTGGGGAAGTCAGGTTTGGAGTTCACAGCGTATGAGCGTCTATGCTGAAATTAATGGTATGAAGCTGTTAGAACAAACAACAGAAAAATTAGGCCCCAGAATGGTAAAAATAAGAACATCCTCTGAACTCATCATGGAATTACTTATCTTGGCTCATCCTGACTTAGGAGGAGATCTTGGCATATTTGGACCATAGCCTCCTAGAGCAGACCAAATGGAAACCACCCTTTTTCTCACTCCATGATTCATTGCTTTCCTTTGGAATGTGTTTGTGCAGGAGAATGTCCACATCCTGAAAGTTACCTACAGCAGTGAAGAATACTCAGTGATAATGATGATGCAATAAAACACTTGCAGGAAACAAGAATATTGACTAATCTGTCCCCAAATGCCACTCATTTTTCCATGCCAGAGAGACACTTGGGGCTTGAATCCACAGCTGCCTTCCCCATTCAGTTAAACCCCAGGTCATGGTCCAGTTCGTGCCCTATCAAACTCTTTGGCCTTGTCAACACACCTGCTAGAGTTCAGCATAGTCTTCAGGGTAGATGCATAGCAAGGGCTGGTCTTGACAATATGTGGTATGTTTTCACCCCATTGCTGTGTAATGAAGAGCTAGAGAGAGCTCCTGAGCACTGAGTGTGACAGCAGCACAATGCGCCTTTCTCCTTTAATGTAGAAACACCCTTATTGCTGTGGGCTGCAGCATTGCTCTGGCTGATGAGTTTTGCCTTGTGGTTTCTCCCACACACCTTTTTTTGTGCTTAATAAAATAAGAAACAAAAAAAAAATCTATCACAGTTTTCAGTCAGACGACTCTGCTGGTAGGAGCTATGTGATGCCCGCGTTTGGCAGGAGTATTTTAATGTGAGCATCAGTGCAGGAAGTGGGAATGTAATTGGCCATTAATGTTGTTTGCCTGTATGCAAAATAAATTATTTGTAGCCCAGAGGGCTTCTAACAGGGATTTCTGCTAATGATTTGCTCAGAAATGCTTGTCTGTGTGAAGAGGTAATACTTCCACGTGCACTGTGGTCTTTTTTTGAGGTGACAGAGAGATGACTGAAGGCAAGCAGTAACCTGTTCTGTCAGGATCACCACAGTTAATGTAAGTGTTGCTCCCAGGACTTGTAAAGCTGAGGCCCACAGGACCTTCCTCTTGGGCGTTAGGAAATGCAGCATTTCAGCAGCAGAAGCAGCTATGGGAATTCCAGCGGTGCCTTACCAGGCTGAGTCTCTAGCTCCCTTAGGCGCTTTGACAGGTCCCACTGGACACTTG